CATCTGTTCTGTACAGCCAGCGGCCTGGCGTATGCAAATAAGGGCGCCAGACATGCAGTTATAAGCCTACAGACAACTCGGTTAATATAAATCATTTCCTACCTTCACGCCTACATGTACATACATGTATATGCAGCTCCCAGACACCAGTAATGTTCGTTACGTCTGGCAAGCTCATGCCTTGGGCCTAGTTTTTACAATTTCACCAATGTTTTTTTTCATCAAGAACTTTAAAAGGCCATGTTGATTTGATTATATGGATGACATCCGAGCGCGCATGAAATTTTGGCCGCTTCAAGAAAAAGTAAATCGTACAAAACAGTTGCAAAATGAGCAAATATATACCGTAAGTTGCAAAAAAATATTTGGAAACGATTCCAATGTCGTAGAATGCCAAAATCAAAAAATAAAACGAAAATGTAAAGAAATGGATTTGAAGAGTAGGTTATTCGTCATACTCTGTGTCATTTGTTCGACCTTCATGACCACGTAGATTTCATAATGAAAGCAACTTTTTTTGCAAAACTGTTTTTATTCGCACGCTCGCATTAGGTCTGGGGTTCCCAGAGGATGTCATCCATATAATTAAATCAACATGGCCTAATGTTAGTTATGTCTGGCAAGCCCATGCCTTGGGCCTAGTTTTACAACTTAGCCAATGTTTCTTTCATCAAGCAAGACCTTAAGAAAGTTTTAAAAGAAGTATTTCTTCTTTCATTTCTTTCTGGCCGGCTAATGACAAGCTGAAATTGCAACACTGGTAGATATAATCTCACCACACCCCGGCCATGTCTTGGATTCAATCCAAGACGTAATTTCACTACTTTTAGATCAATAAGTAATTCTCATAACTTGTGTGAGAATTTCCTTGGTTGTTACATACGTACTATATTACATTGCATGTGACAACCATGACCGTGAATCTCATGTTATGAAACGCGCTTTGCGATCCCACGCAGACTATACTATATTAGTCACATGTACCGAATGCCCAGGGTTGTGTTTGATATTCCCTGACCGTAGTCCGGCTCAGATTTTACAACAATGATTTGTACGTTACCGTGTTCTTTTTTGAAAGGTTAGAGAATATACTGTCTCTGTGTGGATATAAAGTAAATGTGTCCCATATAGCTTACCGAAGGATACGATGAATACAAATACTATAACTATATATGCGTTTTGAAGGCCAAAGCGGCTATAAAATGTCTCGATGAGAGAAATACCTTGACCGTAGGTACTGGGAAGTCTGTGGTCTCTAATACTGATGTTTAAACGTCCTTGGTCTTACGTTTCATCGTTACGGCTTAGCTTAGGTCAACCAATAAAATGTCTCAGCATATAGCATATCAGGGGATTCAGTGACCACTATTTTGCATCCAGAACCGTGCCCGTTTTGTTATGTTTCTCAATGGGTTAAGGTTAGGATCAGGCACGGATCTGGATAGCCTCCGCGCATCCAAGAACAGATCTGCCCCAGGTACGGTTCTGGACAAGCGTGGACTATCCAGAATGGTTCTAGATAAAGCACGGTTCTGAATACAACACTAATCACTTGACTAGCCTCTAGGCACGGTCCCACTGGCACCCGATACAGTTACCAAGAAAACCTTCATAGGGTATCATCATACTATGCTGGTGTCGTTCGCCACCAAAGCAATACCATATATTTACTCATCATCACATGTCTACTACTTCTTCTTTCTGAGATACGTAATTATAAACGTAAAAACCACTGTGCAATATACTAGTATGTGATTTAACATTAAACTATAAAGCACCTGAATAGCAGGTCTAAGATACGTATTATGAACGTAAAGACTAGTGTGCAATATACTAGTATGTGATTTTATAAGATTAAGCTATAAAGTACTTGAATAGCCTGTATTACGTTTCCGCTGCTTTTCGACAGCATAAACCTATGACAAAGGCATTGAACGGTACTGATAGGGGGTATAGTTTTCGTTCTCATTGGATGTGCTTTTTAGCCAAGGTACCATCCGGATTTTCGCTCCGCAACGCTCGAAAAAAAATCCGGAAAATCGAAAATCCGGATGGTACCCAGGCTATGTGCTTTTACTAGCTCCCAATAATGGAAACGAAATGAAGAAGCAATATATACAGGGTGATAACGTTTACGAATAGCCCGTATAGGCAAATTTGGTAATTGGTCCTTATTAAAGGCTTGTAGACACTCGTTTCCCTCCTATTTGTAAGGATATAATAATTACAGGCGTATTATGCGAGTCACGTAAAGACAGCAAGCACTGTCCTATAGGCATCCTTTCAATATACCTCATAAAATGTTATTACATACGCACATGTGGGAATTTTACAAAAATAATAACGCATATTTCAATGGGGGTACCTCTTGTTACTTCAATGCAGCACTGTTGTATATAGGTTAATACATCATAGAAAGCACAACAATACTATTTTATTGTATTTATTTTACGATTATTGTTTTGATACCTGCGACAGGGAACAGTCATCTAGGGAGTTGATGTAATTAAAGATATCAAGTTACCCTTAAATCCTCTATACTATAAAAACGTTGCCCGCATATGTTGTAAACTTGAAATGTCAACGACTTCCGAGTGTGAAAGAGTGGCATAACTTGGTGTTTACGTCTGTTCTATTACCGTTACGAGTTTGGGGGTAAAGCAATGCACCCTTTGATATACGTGGCTTTTGCTACAAACGGAATACCGAATCTACCACAGACCTCAAAATTAACTTTTCTTCCTATTGTCCCAGCACTGTCCCAAAAATAAATTTCAGCTGTCCCAAAATGAGGATGAACTGTCCAAACCTGTTTTGTGGGAAGTATTGTATGACTTAAACTTGAAGTCACTTTATTTTGCGTATGTTCACTCCCAGGCGCTTTGTAGTATATTGCGGAACCAGCGTAGACAGGAAATTCGAAGGGGGGTGGGCTTTTCCGGAGCCAAAAGCTGGAATGTGTACCTAATAAACAAAAGAAGGGCTAACAAACTGATGTTGATTGTTCTCTTCTGTTCTGTTGTCCCACAAATGTCCCAAAGTGTCTTTTCAGGTGCTCCGGCCTAAATTCAAGTGGTCACTGGCCATCGGCACACCGTTGATTTCGAGCCCTGTACCGTTGCAACGTCGACTGAAGCTTAATTTGGTAGATATTACTCCGCAAAACATAAATATAAAAGCACTCAAAGCAACGGAAGTCCGGATCACGCCATGTTACAAACAACGTTTGTACAATAATGGATGTTCACGTTTCTGAACACGTGTGATTCAAAAACAATGAATACCATTTCGGATCATCCATAATGCTTCTTCAACGTTGCAGGTAAAGCCAAAAAAGTATGACAGGAAAGAATCTTGTCATTCTTTTTCCTTAGTTTACCAAAGATGCCGTCCCCATTCCTGTGATATACAAGGCATTAAAGCTGAAAAGTAAGCCAGTAAAGTAGCCGGAAAATGCCCGTCCTTCCTTTCCCATGACTTGACAAAGACGCCGCCCCCATTACCGTGATATACGCGGCAGTAACGCACGTATCGAAGTTGTCCGGCTGGGCTTCATAAGACGTCATGCCAGTGACCCCAGGGCGTGAGCATCGCACAGCCTTTTTGGTGGATCAACATTTCCCTGTACCCGCACAGCCGGCAATTTGTTTTAGAAGCCGGTGGACGGCAGTGAGATTAAAGTTGAACCTAACGTCGGATCTGTTTTGTCCACAATCCCCGGAGTTTTGCTCTGGACAAAGGGGCATGGCAGAAGGAATGGCCGCTAATGGCTAAAATAGGACATCAGCCAAGAAAGAAATCCGGTCGTGCCGTTCTTCTTCCTTTAGATCGCAAATGGTCTAGTATGTCTTAGGGATGAGCCCCTGATATATACAGACATCCCTATCCTTTTTTTTCAAGTTCTGTACAGACATAGCTTGTGTCAATAGATGAGAGTATAGAAAATGGTCCCCCGCGGTAGACACCACGCGTTGGGAATGTACATTGACGACATTCCACAGTAGGGAATACACATAGTGATATACAAGCTTCAACACTTAATATCGCAGCTAGAGAACACATTGAAGCCACATAGCTTGTGTCAATAGATGAGAGAATAGCAAAATGGGTCCCCGGAAGACACCACGCTTTGGGACTGTACATTGACGACATTCCGCAGTAGGGAATACACATCCTAATATACAAGCTTCAGCAGCTGGAGAACACCTTGTTTCTTATATTTATACGACTTCATAAGGCTTATAAATGCATTTGCTGTCTTGAAAAACCTTTAGGAATTCGTAAAACAGTGGGAATCGCACATTTACATTAAACGGAACAAACGAACGGAAGTGGCGAGGTAAATAAATGGTAGTGCAGCTACGATAATGTGTCGGAGCCGCTGAGGGGGACTTTTGGACCTCATCAGTCGGGGCTCTATTAGGCGGCAGGGCGGCTTTACGGCCTGTATAATATAAGTAATAGGCCATTTCATCATGGGGAAACATCGGATTTATATCAGCCGGTGGCTGCTAATGACTTGCGCTGCCGACACGGCAAAGGTAGTAACTCAACTCCGTGGACTTTCACATCGTTGCTGTAGGTAGAAATATATAAATATATATTGTAACCAACACACGCACGTATTGACAAGAGTAAGTGTTGGGTTCGATTTGGGATGGCAAGAACCGATATATCATCACCAATGACTCATACTAGCTCGCAGTGACAGCTTCCAGCTAGTTGGGCATCTATGACCGTATGTCACTGATAACAGTGACATAAAATTAACATTACTACGGACAATTCTTTTAAAAGGCAAAGTTTTGGTAGTAGTAAATGGTTTATTGGTGAAAACACGGGACAAATCGGCCTTGCAGTATTTACTGATTTGCGCCGAATTTTACATTCCACATACTCAATAAAACTAACACCGTAGGCTAATATAGTACATATACAAGTATATACAAGTAACGTTCAATAATCTATGTAGCTATGTAGCTCTAAATTAAGGTGTAAACATGAAGTACCAACCTGCGAAGACAAAGCTGGCTCCAAGGAAAACAGACACGAACATCATTGCCGGTAACATCTTTGTCGCTGTCTTGAACAAGCTGCAACTCACTGTCTTTCAACACTCTTTAGATAATCCAAGCTCGCCGTTTTCTTCCTGTACAGAATAAGATGTCAGAGATCCATATACAAGATGTTCTTCGCGTCTTTGACTAGTAGGAATGCTCCCCCGACTCTGTTCCAGCGGTGAGTAGAGCGTCCCTCCGTCCACACTGAGTAGCGAGCACCAATCATCAACTGTGGCAGTCTACCGGGCTAGCCGATTCCACTGCAGGAGGAACCCTACAGCATAGCAGGGCCAGACAACCGCTGTTAGGGCTCGAAATTCATTTTTGGCGACGTCTCAGGGAGGAGCCTAATGGTACAGTATTGTGTGCAGTTTGCAAGAATTCTAGGAATGGTACAGGCATTTTGTCCACAGGTATGGAATGTCCACAGGCATTTCTCTGACCCACATCTATGCCCACATTCCTGGAAACCCTTGGGAAGATCTATCTGCCCAGGCTGGCCCTACTTTCTGTGACCCCGGGAGTCGTTTACTATACACTCAGGGAAGGAGTGCACTGTATCTACTTAACAGGTACCAAGTCTTCCTCAAAGTCATGAAATGATGACAGTGACATGCAAAGAATAACACTAACAGCAACCGCCGTCGCCATGGCAATGTATGTTTTCATTGCCAGTCTTGTTGGGAATAGGTGCACTGATGCACCCAACCTAAAAAATTAGGTGCACAATTTTTTTGGGTGCACCATATAAAACAAAAACTAATTACAGATCTTACTGCTCTTCTGAGCTTGAATATGAAATGGGGACTAACTTACAGCAAAGATTTTATTATTTTTCTGACACTTGTATGTTAAGAATATCCTGCATACTATTACACATTTGATATGTACAAAATGCCTACAAAAATATTTGGGTGCACTGGTGCACCCACAGAACAAAAATTGGGTTCACAGCTCCAATTTTGGGTGCACTAAGGTGCACATGCACCATTTCGAGCCCTGGCCGTTCTGAAGCGGTGGAGCGGTACTAGTGTTATCTATACAATCAGTAGTACGGTATTACTGATTGTATAGATAACATATTGGCTATGAAGCTTTTTACTCCTTTATGAGTGCAAGCTTAACAAGATGGATTTTTATGGATGGAAGTGGCTATGGTCAGATTTAACAGTGGGAAACTTACATGAGCAAAGGATCTTATAATGAGCAAAGGATCGGTACTAGTGTTATCTATACAATCAGTAGTACGGTATTACTGATTGTATAGATAACATATTGGCTATGAAGCTTTTTTTTACTCCTTTATGAGTGCAAGCTTAACAAGAGGGCGATTGTTTTTGTTTGTAGGTAGGTAGATATGGTCAGATGTAATAACAGTGGGAAACTTACATGGTCTTAGTCGGTTTGTAGTTCAAGAATATGCGTACACACGGCGCGGTTGTTGTGTAATCAATGGTGACAGTTTTTTCCAGGAAGAATCGTGCGGACTAATGCGTGGTAAGTTTTCCAGGAAGGATCGTGCGGAGTAATTTTTGTGTACAGAAAATGATAAATATCTTGATATTCGTGCTGTAATTATTGAAGTGATGTCGCAATCATCGGGCGTGCTTCGGGTGTCTTCGGCATTGTCCGGATGGCGCTCGGAAATTACAAATATAACGCTCGGGAATGAATCGCATACACATGGCCGTTTTTATATTTCAAAATCTTGTTTTGAAATACAATACACGTTTCTTTTAAATCCCCTCAACTCCTTTAAGCAAAACATGAAGAGTTCCATTCTTCGTCACATGCAAGTCCGTGTGCTAATAACTTAGTGACTTGCCTGTGTTAATTACTAGTAATTCTTTTAACTAAAAGTTGAAGAACTAAATCGGCAGAAATAAATGCCCTCAACTGCTCAAAGATTACCCTATATTAGTAGTACTTCTAATGTATAATAAAGTCTTCAACCACAACCTACATCAGTGCGGAAGATGACTTAATCCTTGCTACAATCACGAAGTAATGACTATAAGGTCGGGGGTTAATCACCAATAAACCGCCCTGATTGTATAGTATACCGGCGATAACGAACTTGTGATTGGGTCTTCCAATCGGCGCTTATTTCTTATGTATGCCTCACACTTCCCGGGGCAAGAAGGTTAATTCCATACTTGGAATAAGTCCATCAAAGTAACATGTTCTTATCCTGCCAAGTTTATTCCTGGCGGGTTATCTTTATGTAAGCTTTAAGAAGGCAACTCTTCCAGGAATTTTCCCTACTGTTACGCAACAAATATTGAGCTTCAGTGACCTTAGATTCAGTGGGTGGAAAATTAATATTTGAGAAATGTCAGATTTCTGGACAGATTCAATGAAACCAGCGGACCAGCAAAATTGTACATGAAAACGATCTCAAACCAAAGAAAATTGTTTATGACACGTTTTATGTCCACATAAAAATATCCACACAACTTGGAAATTCCCGGTAGCGATGTAAACAGCAAAAAGCCTTACGTGTGAAAAGGTGAAATAGATATTACGTTGTTGTGGTGGGATTTGTTTGCACACATTAACCAACGTAGACGTCAGTGCAATGCCAATGGAAATTACTAGATGTCGCTATAGCCTGCTGTGCCTTTTTTCAACCGAAAGAATTACAGTAGTTAAAACAAATCTTTAGAATAGTATGACACAAATCATCTTTTACTGTTACTGTAACAGTATTTTCCAAGGTTTCATTGTCACGCAATGATACAAAAATATACATACATGTAGAAGAGGATTTTATTTACACTTACCTATCCATGTGTAAACAGACTATTTGGACTGTTCCACTATCGTGGGAGGGGCATAATTTTTAAAATGTGATTTTAAACTCTTGCACAGTAAGTAAGGTCTATAATATACATATGGCATACATGACGTAGATTAAAAGTTGCCAAATAAAAATCCTTATTAAATATAATTGCAAATAAAAAAAACACAGGACGTTAGGTTGTCTACCCCGATTTGCAGTGGTTTGTTCCGTCCCGATGATTATAACCAGTTTTTCAACTCAACCTTATCAAAGGTCTAAAATCGCTCCGAGCTTTTTTTTGCCCCACCAATAGTTACACAGCACGCGTCCAAATCGCCAAGCACTTACGAAGTCTTCTCTTCAACCTTTTTTCGGTGACGGTGTACGAGCTATCAACTCAGGACGACAAGCTTACAGGTGAGTTTCTGAACTTATGTTTTGGCATAAGAATAATTCGTAGCTTATATTACAAAGCAAGAAAAGGTATACATGTTGCAACTTTTGACAGGAGTTCGCCCCTCCCTTCCAATATGGCGTCGGTCCACGTCACAATTTTCAGAAGTTTAAGATTTTCCCATTTTGATATTTACGGTAGAAGCTACTAGAAAACCTGTACATGATGTAACGACTACTAACATACTACTACCCGGCTATATGTATCCGCGCATTAGATATCTCCAATATACATACAAGTACAACGTCTCCCAGTATATTATAGTATGTTCTCTTGCATACCTAAATTGTAGATACATTTGTACTTTGGGATTCTGCACTAAAGATCTCCCACACACATTGTTTTGCAAAGTGTATCTCGGCAGATAAATGTGAATGGATGTTATATGAAGTTACATACAAGCTTTTAAACTTCAAAATTACCAAGCAGCTTGAGCAAACTCAGAAACAACCACGCCTACATTGTAGTGTATGTATTTCAGTATCAAATGCCCAGTGCCAAGGCACTGTCTTGCCGTAAAGATATTGTAGAGTGCTACCCCAAAATATCCCAAATACAACATGGCAGTCTTTCTCAATTAGCTATAGGTACTTAAAACTACGCGCTAAGTTTGTATGTGTGTGTATGTGTCAGTCACAAGTTTTGCAAGGAATTCACTATGTTCGTAACTATGTGTGCCTGTAAATACAAATCCTTTGATATAAGCCGAAGCAAAGCCATCCGTTTAGTCTGTTTATTTTATGTAATGAGTCGTACTAATTACAATTTTCTTAGGTCGAGCTAAAGTGGACCGAAGAGTTAAATGGCACGACCGGCCATTTTTAATTATTGGTTTAATGAGGCGTGTAATAATTATGGGAAGCACTACTGTTTTAACGTGGCAACCTGACGTATTTGGTGACGTCATTAGTTTCAACCCCTACTACCTTCTTTCTTTCTTTCTTTAGTTCTTTCTTTCATTCTCCTTTTATTTTTTACATCATCAATCTTTCCTTCCTTCATGTTCTCTTCTTTCTCTCCCTTTTCCTTTTTTCTTCCTTCCTTTCTTCTTTCTTTTTCTTCCTTTCTTTCTTTCGTTCTCCTTTTTATTTGTACATCATCTATCTTTAACTGCTTCCTTCGTGTTCTCCTTCCTCTTCCTTTTCCCCCTTTTTCTTTCTTTCTGTCTTTCATTCATTGTCCTCCCTTTTCATTTTTATATCATCCATCTTTCACTCCTCCCTTCATGTTCCTTCTTTCTCTTCCTTTTCCCCTCTCTCTTTCTCTCTTTCTTCACATCTCCGACTACACCTACAAGTAAGGTATCTGGAATTCCATTTACTTAGATATAACTACAGTATATAACTACACTTAAATGCCGTAGTTGAATAAACTGATGAACTTCTGTTTACTTGCAGACGTTCACACCAAGTGTCAAACCAGCCACGTCACGATGAAAACGTTTGTTACTCTGGGTAAGTCTCCCACCTTCCACTAATTTAAAGAACATTTCTGTTTGTCGGAAAAAATTTTCAAATAGTCAACTTAATGTGCTGTTGATAGAATAGAATAAAAAGTACTAGTAGTAGTATACATGGATATTTCAAAGTTTTCAACTAGCGGGGTTATACCGACCCTTTCGGGGTGACATACCCTTTCGTAGGCTAATACAAGACGGAGGTTCGTCAGGCGCCTCCGTCCAGGTGATTTGTAGTGACTCACCGACTTCCAGACAGACGTATTTTGACCATCGCACACCGGGACATGCTCCTACTATTTACTAGTACCCCTGCTACCTTCAGTTTTGTTTAATTACAAGTCAAATCGCGTGATGTTTAAAGGCAAAACTTTTGATGCAACACAAAGAATTGTTCTCATCTAAAGTTTCAGTTTAGAGCAGTCAAATCGTGTGATCCCCCCCCCCCAGTTGCATGCACGCCTGTATTATAATCAATTATCGCCAGAGGGCACAATTACTAGAACTTTAATGTCTTTTTAATTGTCTCAGGTTTCCTCCTTGTCTGCGTTGCGGTCGGCCTGGCCGACGAGTCGACAGACGAGTGTAACAACTACCAGGAGTTGAGCGACCCCTGGCGGAGCGTGCTGAATCACAAGCCCGAGGCTCAGTGGGATGACGTCATCTGCGACGGTAACGACACCGCCGTGGGGGTTGACGAGGGGTGGTACAGGTTCACCGGGGAGGCGGGGGACAGGATGCCCGTACAGGCCCCCACCATGTACCGCTGCGGGGCTCACGCGGGGGTCTTCATGAACGGTCAGCACCCCTTCATCGAAGAGGGGGTGGTCACCCGCCAGGCATGCGCACACTACTCCGACAACACCTGTTACTGGAGCTGGGACATCAAGGTTCGCGCATGCCCAGACGGGTACTACGTGTACAAGTTACCGAAACCCGTGACGTGTAAGCTTGCGTACTGCGGCACAACAGTAGATATTGTTATACCCGATGAACCACCAGTGGAAAAACATGTGCCAGATTTGTAACTTGTAGGGTCGATGTAGGTACATGTAAACACGCATAGTTAATCAAGCTTAAAGGCATCCAATGTAGTTTTTAGGGCTTGGAAACCCGTTTTTTTAAGTCAATATTCTATTCACTTATCTACATAGTTGAAACCACACAAATTCCCAATGTATATTGACCCTCATGGACCAAAAATACAAAAAAATCTGACGGAAAATGGTTACTGGAAGGGCCCTTGGCTGATTTTTAGGGTACCGCCCAGAAAATAAAGGACTCATCTTGGGGCTTTTTTCTGCAGTTTTAAATACCCAAAGTATGAAATACTGATTGAAATGTGCTAATGTGAAACAGTATGTGTCAATATCACAAAGATTGCCTTGAGCAGAATATTTCTAGTTTTGCTGCTCTGAAATCGCATTGGATGCCTTTAAGGTATGCTTAGGAAAATTCGCGTGGCTTTTTAGAAATTTTTCATTAGATATAAAGGGAAAAAGACAGGTCTTTGTGGAATCGTTTGATCTCAAAAGTGAAAAAAATATCATCTTCAACTTTGGTGCTTATAAAAATTGTGATAATTTCTCGCATATTTCCTAGAAGTAGCATCATCATTTATTTAAAAAAAAAACTCTATACACTACTTATATCAATCAAATATGTGTATTTAGAATATGGAATAGTTTAAGCGGTAGTGTTGGTTGGTTGTGTTAGGAAGAACAACATATGGTTTAGACTCTTAAATATCTGAATTCTGGATAGTAAAATTGTATGATCAATTATATGATCAAAAGTCTTGGGAGAAACTGCAGTCAATAAAAGTATATGAGGGGGAGGTGAGTTGTTTTGTCTATGTTCTTGTATGTCTCTGACTTGGAAGTGTCGTCTGTATTATGTATGGAGGCTGTGACTATATAAATTTTAGCTGTTTTATTCATTTTTGGGCTATCTTCAGTTTCACTGGAACACCCAATCAGTACAAAGGACAGGGGTTGAACAGCGCGCGTTTTGCACAGCGACAGTTCACGGTACTGCAGTTATCCTCCTTGCCGATTGAAATGTGTGTTTAGAAAGCTTTTCGTGTATATTCTCACTGTGAATTCAATGAGTTTTTAACACCTGCCGAAATCTAAAACGTTGACCTTTGCAACATGATAAGGTCAAATTGTTTACGGTGCATCCTTACCAGGGAGTAAAAGGGTCATCATACATGTGCTCTAGCTCACATCATTACACTGTCCAAATGTCATGACATTCTCTAAGACCCCTTTTCACACATAGCCAAATATGGTCTTCCGAATACTCCCGAAACCACCCCAACCATGGTATGGAGCAAGGTCGGCTGTGGTTGGCTGATTACTGGAGGCGAGGTCGGCTACTGTTCAGCCGAATGTTTAAAAATGTTTAAAACATTCTGGAATGGATGGAAGGTTGGGCCAAGGTTGGGCTAAGGTTGGCTGGTGTTTTGCAGTAGATCAGCAGTGTTCGGGGTCAAATTTTACTCAAAGTCAACTCTAATTTGACAGTGCTATTAGCATACTTACTTACTTTGAATATTTTTCGTAGATACAGCCAGGCTATATCCGTGGTTTCACATCTTTAGACATAGCTTTTTATCTTATTTATTTAGTACGTAAATTTAATTTCACTGGAAAACGTGATAATTGAAAAAGTCATGATGACTCTTTGTCTAATGGTTATCCCCTTTTTATTATATGGGGAAGATAACACGAGATAGATAACATGTCTCCATATAGGGTTACATCTTTTGTTAACATTAAAAACGGATAGCACATGTGACCCCATACGTGTCTACGTGTGCGACGACACTGCCTAGTAACTGATCTTATCGAGTTTCGTAATTTGCTGCGGAGGCGAAGCGTGCGTATTCTAACGTCAACACCTTTCCAAGAAATGATCTAGAATCAAATCAGTAAATCAATAAATATTCTATTTTTGCACAGATACGAGTCCATCATAATTGTGGCACTTTGATTTATCTTTATCCTTTGGGTATATTGATTGATACTTGTGAACAACAATTTCTAGTCTACTAGGTAAAGATATATTTTGTAAGATAATTTGGATAAGAAATCATTAAGTTTGTTTCTTTTCATATTCGAAGTCATTGACAGATCGTAAGGATGGAACTCTCTCTCTGATCTGACAAGTGTTTCCCTTCCAAAGGCTTCGAAATCAACGTTCATCCACAACCGTTTCGTAGCATAGTTGCCAACTTTGATAACATCGTATTTCTCACAGATCCCGTTTTTTATGTTTACCGATGGAAAACATATTGTTTTTACTCAGTTTCTTCTTCTTCTCCAAACAGTGACCTCTGACCTGACCAATAACATGATTTGTTGACGTCTGTCACCCTGGTGACTGGTGTTGGGTTACATAATGTTGCAATTTCATGGTCTTCTCTGCTCCTGTCACCATATACTAGTAGTACATGTCTGTGAACGTGTTTGAGTAAGAATTAACAGAGCAGACCATGTCCGAAGGTAAACGTTTTGCATTTGCCTTGCAAATGTTACTCCTCTAGTTTACAACATAAATACCATAATGTCTACGTGCCCGACGGCACCACTATCTAGTTAAAAGTCAAATTCTATCAACTGGGCTCATCAGGTTTTGCTGTATTTCTCACAGATACAGTGGAGTTCTAGCCGTGATTTCACAACTTAAATCTCATAAGGTCTACGTGCCCGACGGCACCACTATCTAGTTAAAGTCAAATTCTATCATCAGGTTTTGCTGTATTTTCCGTAGATAAAGTTGAGTTATACCCGTCATTTCACAACTTAAATCCCATAAGGTCTACATGTATGATACCACTATCTAAAGTCAAATTCTATTAACTTGGCTTATCAAGTTTTGCTGTATTTCTCACAGGTACAGTTGAGTTATATAAGTGATTTCACAACTTAAATCCCATAAGGTCTACGTGTATGATACCACTATCTAAAGTCAAATTCTATTAACTTGGCTTATCAAGTTTTGCTGTATTTCTCACAGGTACAGTTGAGTTATATAAGTGATTTCACAACTTAAATCCCATAAGGTCCACGTGTATGATACCACTATCTGAAGACAAATTCTATTAACTGGGCTTATCAAGTTTTGCTGTATTTCTCACAGATACAGTCGAGTTATACCCGTGATTTCACAACATAAAAACCATTACGTCTACGTGCCCGACGTACGGCACCACTATCTAGTTAAAGTCAAATTCTATCAACTGGGCTTATCAGGTTTTGCTGTATTTCTCACAGATACAGAGTCAGTAGAGTTATACCCGTCATTTCACAACTTAAATCCCATAAGGTCCACGTGTATGATACCACTATCTAAAGTCAAATTCTATCAACTGGGCTTATCAGGTTTTGCATGCTGTATTTCTCAAAGATACAATCAAGTTATACCGTCAATTTCATAACATAAAAACCATTAGGTCTACGTGTACCACTATCTAGTCAAGTCAAATGCTATAAACTACGCTTATCAGGTTTTGTAATTTGAAGAGGAGGCGAGCACATAAGTGGATAAATGTAGGGAACATTTAATCTATGCCGAACTCATCACAGTCTAACGCTTGTACCTTTGAGAACAGAATGAAACAAGACCATAGCATGTTCAGGACAAAAGATTAAAAAACCGGAAGTTCTGCTGCAGTACCAAGGTCGGCCACCAGGAGGCCCATATTTGACCTTGACCTTTGTCTTCTTAAGACCTTCCAAGGTACCAAATATCATCACAATCCATAAAGGCGTTCTGAAGTTATGCTCGCTTCAAATGTGCGGAAACACAAACACACAGACAGACACACAGACAGACACGCCAAAAACAATACCTCCATTTTTCATGGAGGTAATCAAATGAAATCGATGTTACACGAACCACCTGCTGTAATTTGGTAACTAGCGCCGTAAGTACCAGTAATAATTGACGTACGCATCTGACGTACGAAAAATCCTTGGCGATTATACGTTTCATTTTTACACAGGTCAGTGGCCGACTTAATCATGACAAAGAACACTCCCTATGAAACTTGACAATCCATGTATCGTTAGCTCCATATATGTTTATACATATACAACTGCCTGAAGAAGCGAGAAGAAGTTGTATAGTTTAAGTAAGGGCTCTAGATTTCGGTAGAGTCGGTATTCGGTTACTAGTGCCGGAGGTGTACGTGTCAGTGAGAATTAACGTAGAAAAATCATCGGTGATACGTGTTATTTTTACACAGGTCAATGTCCGACTCAGTTATGACACTTTTCCTTGTGGAGAACTCATACAGAGTAATGCTAGTCAACAGCAGCGACATATTTTGTAAAATAACTTGGATAAGAAATCACAAAGATTTTTTTTATCTTTTTATTCGAAGATATTGACAGATCGTAGCCATAGAGGATTAGATCAGAAGCCGAGCCGGATAATTCAGTTACTAGTGCCGGAGGTTTCAGTGAGAATTGACGTAGGAAGAATCATTGGCGACACATTTTATTTTTACACAGGTCAGTGGCCGACTTATGTAATTGTGACCCAATTATGACACTTTTTTCTTGTGGAGAACACATACAGAGTAATGCTAGCCAACAGCAGGGGCATATTTTGTAAAATAACTCTGATAAGAAATCACAAAGATTTGTTGTTGTTTTTTTATTCGACGATATTGACAGATCGTAGCCATAGAGTATCAGATCAGAAGCCGAGCCGGATAATTCAGTTACTAGTGCCGGAGGTTTCAGTGGGTTTCAGTGAGAATTGACGTACGAAAAAGTCTTTGGTGATAATTTGATTTTTACACAGGTCAGTGGCCGACTTATATAATTATGACCTAATTATGACACTTTTTTTCCTAGTTGAGAACACATACAGAGTAATGCTAGTCAACAACAGCGACATATTCTGTAAAATAACTTCAATATAAAGTCACAAAGTGTTTTTTTTTTCACTTCGAAGACATTGACAGATCGTAGCTATGGAGATCTCCCATTTACGAAATAATCAGAAGATTTTTCATGAGCCGGTATGTAATTTAGTTACTAGTGCCGGAGGTTTCAGTGATAATTGACGTAGGAAAATTTCTTGGCGATACATTTTATTTTTACACAGGTCAGTGGCCGACTTATGTAATTGTGACCTAATTATGACACTTTTTCTTGTGGAGAACACATACAGAGTAATGCTAGCCAACAGCAGGGGCATATTCTGTAAAATAACTTCAATATAAGTCACAAAGTTTTTTTTTTTCAATTCGAAGACATTGACAGATTGTAGTCATAGCGTAGTCATAACGAAATAATCAGAAGATTTTTCATGAGCCGGTATGTAATTTAGTTACTAGTGCCGGAGGTGTCAGTGGGAATTGACGTAGGAAAAATTCTTGGCGATACATTTTATTTTTTTTTAAAACAGGTCAGTGGCCGACTTATGTAATTGTGACCTGATTATGGCACTTTTTCTTGTGGAGAACACATATTACAGAGTAATGGTAGTCAACAGGAGTTACATGTTCTGTAAAATAACTTGGATAAGAAATAACAAAATGTTGTTGTTTTTTTTAGTCGAAAACATTGACAGATAGAAGTCACAGAGCTCTCCCATTACGAAATGATCGTCAGACTTTTCACGAGTCGGTAATTGGTTACTAGGATTGGAGGTGTCAGTGAGAATTGACTTAGGAAGAATCCTCGGTGATACATTTTATTTTTACACAGGTCAATGTCCGACTTAATTTTATGACACTTTTTTCCTTCTGGAGAAGAAATACACAGTGACGGTAGTCAATAACAGCGACACATATCTAAAATAATTTGGATAAGAAATCACAAAGGTTATTTTATTCACATTTGAAGGACAAATCATAATTCTATTTAAGACCATGTTGACTTGATTATATGGATGACATCCGCGCGCGCATGAATTTTCGGCCGTTTCCAAAAAAAAAAGTTTTCAACCATACTGTAAATCGTGCAAAAAAGTTGCTAAATGAGCAAAAATATACCATAAGTTGCAAGGAAAACATTTAGAAACGATACCAATGTCGTAGAATGCCAAAATCAAAGGAAAAAAGACAAAAATGTAAAGAAATGAATTCGAAGAGTAGATTATTCGCCATAACATATTCTGTGCCATTTGTTCAACCCTCATGACCACGTAGATTTCATAGTGAAAGCAACTTTTTTTCTGCAACACTTTTTTTTATTCGCACGCTCGCATCAGTTTTCGGGTTCCCAGAGGATGTCATCCATATAATCAAATCAACATGGCCTGATTGAGAAGAAAGACTGCAGGACGTTCTTCGACTTCAGATGCAGAATACAGTGAAATATGAACGAAGTCAATAAACTCAATATGTGATGTGGACGTTTTGAAAATCGGATCCTATTTTTACATGTACACTCAGTGTGTCATTATCTGAGGTCCCGTCACACCTACTCTAAATCAGCAGGTGTCTAGCAAATACAGGAAGAATGGGCAATTGGCAACATCGTCATATTTGGGAATCCCTGGTCATTCCCCTTTCATACTAGTGACGGAGTGAAACGGAATTTCGTATGAAGGAATATTTTTGGAATGAATGAATGATAGACCATTATTGCACGCTTATGCTCTTACAACCTAGCCTAAATACAGGTCATGAATAAACAGTACAGTAAATTACAGTTTACTGTAATACCTTACATAAACTATACATACTAATTACTATTATTATTAAATACTAATTACAGGTTGAGATTTTTCTCGCTTCTTGGGGCAGTTGTAGATGTATCAACATATGGAGGTAATGATACAAGTTTCATAAGGAATACGAATTTTTCTGCTTTATCTAAAAGTCTACAGCAGGAGAACTTATCTTTTATATATAATATATTTATTGTATACCATCCCTTCAGGTCTGCCTTGAATGCGGACAGATAATTAATATATTGAACTCTGTTGTAATACTACTGTAGGAATATTCAGAATGCAGTCATACTGTAGTTGGACTATCCTCTGAATGCCCTTTAATGTTTTTCCACTTCTAATTTACCTCGCAATTGCAAGTTCGATATGCTCAAAACATTCAGATTTGGTTATTAGTTGTTTGGTTATTTAGTAGTGAAAATTAGTGTCTTCAAAAATGCGCTAACTACTTTTACAAGGGATAGTAGAAAATACCATTATACCACCAAGAGTTGTAACAGTCTATATGGTAAATTAATGAGATAGCGCCCCTGTTATACACTTATCCACATAATGCCGATATTAGCAGTGTTTTTTTACAGTCCAATACTTTTCACTACTAAATAAATGGTATAAACAATCAGATGTTATAAAGTAACATTCGGATCGGCCACAAGAATGGCCACAAATATCTGGAATGTGGTGTGAATTTCTGGAATGCACTTAGAATATCCAGGAATATACAAAGGGTTTTCATTCAGAATGGCATTCTATCTAGCTCATTCCGTGTGAAGGGGGGTATAAACGATAGCACCTGACGATAGCATCTGTGTTCCGCTCGTAAAATATGGGCGTGTTTTTATTTTCCCTGTTACAGTATTACAAAAGGTAACGTGGCTAGAATACATATGCCGAACCTTCGGTCTCTCAAGTTGCAGCGACCAAACACGCCTGACCGAGCTGTCAATCACAACCCGCCTTCCTATTAACTCAATTAAGCCGACGGTCAACACAGCCAATTCACTACCATAATTTGTCAAAAAAAATCACACCACTTCGCTGACAATAAAAGAGTTAGGATGTTTGTTTAAGCGTGCATTACGCTAAGTGTTGTCGGTATTTTCTGGGTTAGATTAAATTGTTTCCAAGGTCTGTGGTAACACAGGTGCCTGGTGTAGGGTTACTAAGGTACAGTGCACACAAAAAGTATTTCAGATCAGAGTAACTGCAACATTTATTCAAACTTATACCTCTTGTACATACACTGATATGGATGTTGGGCACAAATATTTGCAGCCATAGCAACATTTAAAAACATTAAGCACACAACTGAATAATCGTCTGGCTGAATGACTAATATAGTCAGAGCGTACCGACCGTACACTCGTGTATTGATGTTGTCGTCTTTACTTCACACAGTTTAAACATCATTACAATTCTCATCTACAACATTAAACAGTCTCATGTTTTTACAGAATTCCTATTTGTTGTACCCGTAGCCTAGCCATTTAATCCACAGCATCTTGACACTTATTAAAGTAGCATTAAACAGAATAACTCCTCTCCAAACTTTGTAAAAACCTAATTCCACCACTTTTGTAGATTGTTCTTAGCAGAAGTAGCGAAGTAAATAGAGGTGTTTAATTTGATTGAGGGACTTACAGGTACAAATATTTGTGTCGCGGTAACACGAGCTTACCTGAGGTCAAACACTGTATTGTTGGAACTACCGGCAACAAAAAACACTGTGTTAACCTACAGCAATGTATTTTCATCCTAGACCTTGTTCATTCTACACAGCTTCCAGCTTTATCTGTATAGTATGGTGGTAGAAAGACTTAAAATGCAGCATAAGGCAAGGATACGTTGTATACTTCTTCACAATTCATTCTCTAGTTCATGATTCTGTTATTTTTCTACCCTGCTAACAGAAATATCAGATTTTGAGACGAGTAATTTTCTCACATCACCTTCACGGAACAAACTGTGGAGTTACGCGAAAATTAACGTCTCTCTTTCTTTCAAACACGATTAAAAAAAGCACTAAGAAACGGATGTTAGCTCAAGACTATGGTAGTAACAATATCTGACAGGAAAGGTCAATACGGTTTGAGTACTGTAAACCCAGTTCTGCTAACGGTTTTCTGAGAGACCGTTGCATGTTTTTTGTCCTTTGGTCTACTCGTACCCTGAAAGCCAAACTTGTTTTTCCGGGCCGCAAGAGCCCTTCGCCCGCTGGTCTAAATTACGCTACGGGGGAGTCTAGCCCGGGGAAAGCTCAACTCCACCGCAGTGGTAATTTAAGTCTGTGGGCGAAGGGCTTCTGGCTGCCGAAGGAAACGGTTAGCGGCCCGTACCCAGGGAAGTCTACTCGAAGTAGAGTCCGTAGATCATGGCGACGGCGAACAGGGATCCGTTTGTGTACTTGACGGTCGTGAAGGAGTCTGTCTTGTCGTTCCAGAGACACCTGCTGCCGAAGTGCATGCCGGGGCGCTCCTTCAGGCTGCCTATGCTGACGATGGTGACCAGTTTGTACCGCTTGATGTTCAGGTTTTTCGTGGCGTCCATGATCTTTCCCGCCAGGTCCTGCGCCTGGCTTCGGCACGTCGCCGCGTCGTAGGGCTGGTCCTTGAGATGCGTCTCAAGAATGTCCCTCGCCGGTCCTTCGATAAGATGCGACTGGAACTTAAAGTCAGGCTCCATCTTGTAAGTGTTCTCGTACTGTACCTTCCGGCTAGAGCCGTGGGCGAACGAGTGCTCGCTGCCGCCGACTGTTGACATGACTTCGTCCATGTTTCCTGTAGGGTCGTAGCCGCCTCGGAGCGAGGGAGTCGCTCCGTCGGGGACCTGGAGGAACTTCTTGCGGCGCCCTGGCTTCGGGGTGCCCTCGCCTCCGCTCGAGTACCCGTCGGAGTCCGCGCCGGACGGCACTGCAATCCGGGTAACCCGCTTCTTCCCTCCCTTAGCAACGGACATTGTCGGGAAGCGTTTGACTTATCTGACCGATCTCCGAGAACAAAGGAAACCGGGCCGGTGGGGTCTTTATCTCCTAATCCCTCACTCTCTATCCTCTGTGCTGCTGACAGATAACGGCTGATCTGTGTTTGTAGCAAACCTCTGATCTGTCGGGCCGTAAATTCTCTCCCACTCCTCACAGTACTCGGTCGCGAATGCTACTGTTTTCTCTACCCCAGTCTGCCCTAGATCGTCCACTCCAAACAATGACATCTGTCTCCTTAAATTTCTGTCCCCTTTAGTCCGAGTCAACTCCAGTGTTGCAAAGGACCAATATCTCACAAAAGCGTTGGGTAATTGATAGGGCATGGCCGCCATTGTACCCTGCCAAACTGTGTATTTATTGTAAGCAAGACCTTTTTGAGGGAATACGGTAAACTTTGCCACTGGCAACGGGTGATTTGGGTTACACGTGGTCGCCCTGGAGAAATAAACAGCCGGGGGGGATCGAATGTACCTGTCGGTAGAACATGGCGCCGTGACTAATATCAGGGACATACCAACAGGGAACTATAAGAGGGGGGAAGAAAAAATCCACACATAGGTTAACGCCTTTAATTCCTGATCTCCAAGCAGATGTCTGGCGGTAAAAGTGTTACGCATAGAACTAGCGACCTAGAGAGGGCCTGGCAAATGGGTACTGTCTTTGCAGCCACCGAAAGATCTGCTTGAAGATGATAATTCCATCCTTCCTTCCTTCCACTCGTATATTCATTCATTCATTTATTCGTTCGTTCCATCATTTGTGTCTTTCTTTGTTCGTTCGTTCATTCACTCATCTCACACAAAATGTACAACGAAAACCATGCCATTTTCCTCGAACATTTATTGCTTTATATTCAGTACATGGAAACAATAAACAATTTAATGCAACAAAAAAAAAAAAACAATACAAGATGCAAATCGCGTGACCCGCACAACTCAACTCGTCATATTCAAACCTTTAAGTTTTACTTCCATTTACGTTAAAAGAAGCAATCATACTGACAGGATAATTACTTACTTAATAGAACTAGATAAGAGGACGGCCTCTATTTTAATAGCAATACCAAAATACAATACAAAAGCAATGACATCTATTAATAGCAATAATAGCTAAATATCACATATCAATTAAAGACTATATGTAACAAATACAATGTACTTTTACCTTACTAAATCAACATGAATAACATTATTGAGAGCAATTCTTCAACACTCTTCACGTACATAACCAGAAAATCAGATATAGTCTCCACAAAAAACATCACAAAGTTTCTTTCCACGTTCCTTCTGATACTTAATCTCCGTGCGTGGTGTTGCACGGTCGTGATATAGAAATTATTTCACATGATGAATAATGATTTTATCAATATAATATAATACCAATGATACGAAAAAAATACTCTCATGAGAAACGTAGATTTTTCAAGTTCATACTACTTGGGAGTCTTCTGCGTCAAAAAGATCATGGGTAAAATCTACGTCATCAAAATGGCGATAGCCGACCAGCGGGCTATTAAGTCTCTCTTCTAGTATCCTTCAGGGTGTGACTCTATATCTCGTCTTAGTGTGAAGACATGGCTTTAGATGGCCCTGAGATGCTTCACTTCAGTGTCTCATAGTTTAGGTTACTTAAGCTTGTGACATGTTTGTCGAATGTATTAATTTATTAACCCATTTTCCTTTGGGAAACTAGTAATATGTTTGAGAGTCCATCAAAACTAGTGGCCTTATACAAAAATAATGCCTCATTTTAAAATATGAAATATTGCAAGTATCGTGATAGAGCTTTGAGAAAGTCCATGGTATATGTCTTCCGCCTCTAGGCAACTTTTACGTCTACCTCAGTGACGCGTCTTACTGGTTCTTTTTTCCACAGAAAGCCTTGTCCTATATATATATATACAAAAATAATACCCTCATTTTTAAATCTGAAATATTGCAAGTATCGTGATATATCTTTGAGCAAGTCTGTGGTATATGTCTTCCTTCTCTAGGCAACTTTCACGTCTACCTGACTGACTCGGCTTATTACTGGTTCTTTCTTTCGAAAAAAGCCTTGTCCGAGCTCAGAGTCATAGAGCGCGGGGTAGTTACTTTCCACTGGCGACAGTTGATTTCCCAGATGTCGTGTACAAAAATAATGCCTCATTTTTAAATCTGAAATATTGCAAGTATCGTGACAGAGCTTTGAGCAAGTTCGTGGTATATGTCTTCCTTCTCTAGGCAAATTTTACGTCTACCTCACTGACTCGACTTACGGGTTCTTTTTTCCTCATAAAGCCTGGTCCTATATACAAAATATAATACCCTCATTTTTCAATCTGAAATATTGCAAGTATCGTGATAGAGCTTGGAGCAAGTCTGTGGTATATGCCTCTATGCAACTTTTACGTCTACCTCACTGACTCGACTTACTGGTTCTTTTCTCCTCAGAAAGCCTTGTTCGTCCACCTGACATTTAATATCCTCTATTTCAAATCTGAAATATTGCAAGTATCGTGACATAACTTTGAGCAAGTCCGTGATATGTCTTCTCTAGGCAACTTTTACGTCTACCTGACTGACTCGGCTTACGGGTTCTTTTCTCATCAGAAAGCCTTGTCTTATATGCAAAAATAATACCGTACCCTCTATTTTAAATCATGAAATATTGCAAGTATCGTGACATAACTTTGAGCAAGTCCGTGGTATGTCTTCCGCCTCTAGGCAACTTTCACGTCTACCTAACTGACTCGGCTTACTGGTTCTTTTTTCCACAGAAAGCCTTTTCCTCTATACAAAAACAATACCCTCATTTTTAAATCTGAAATATTGCAAGTATCGTGATATAACTTTGAGCAAGTTCGTGGTATATGTCTTCCTTCTCTAGGCAACTTTGTACGTCTACCTGACTGACTCGGCTTATTACTGGTTCTTTCTTTCGAAAAAAGCCTTGTTCGAGCTCAGAATAGAGACCGGGAAAGTCACTTTGCGGCATTTGATTTCCAAGATGTCATATACAAAAATAATGCCTCATTTTTAAATATGAAATATTGCAAGTATCGTGACAGAGCACGAGCTTTGAGCAAGTTCGTGGTATATGTTTTCCGCCTCTAGGCAACTTTTACGTCTACCTGACTAACTCGACTTACGGGTTCTTTTTTCCTCATAAAGCCTTGTCCTAGATACAAAATATAATACCCTCTTTTTTGAATTTGAAATATTGCAAGTATCGTGACAGAGCTTTGAGCAAATCTGTGGTATATGTCTTCCGCCTCTAGGCATCTTTTACGTCTACCTGACTGACTCGGCTTACTGATTCTTTCTTTCGCAAAAAAGCCTTGTCCGAGCTCAGAATCATAGAGCCCGGGGTAGTTACTTTCCACTGGCGGCATTTGATTTCCAAGATGTCCTATACAAAAATAATGCCTCATTTTTAAATCTGAAATATTGCAAGTATCGTGACATAACTTTGAGCAAGTTCGTGGTATGTCTTCCGCCTCTAGGCAACTTTCACGTCTACCTGACTGACTCGGATTACGGGTTCTTTTTTCCACAGAAAGCCTTGTCCTATTTACAAAAATAATACCGTTCATTTTAAATCTGACATATTGCAAGTATCGTGATATAACTTTGAGCAAGTTCGTGGGATATGTCTTCCTCTAGGCAACTTTTACGTCTACATGTACCTAACTGACTAGGCTTACGGGTTCTTTTTTTCCACAGAAAGCCTTGTTCGAGCTCAAAATAATACCCTCTATTTTAAATCTGAAATATTGCAAGTATCGTGACAGAGCTTTGAGCAAGTTCAGTCCTGGTATATGCCTTCCTTCTCTAGGCAACTTTCACGTCTACCTCACTGACTCGGCTTACTGGTTCTTTTCTTAGCAGAAAGCTTTGTCCGAGCTCAGAATCATAGAGCCCGGGGAAGTTACCTTCCACTGGCGGCATTTGGTTTCCAAGATGTCTGCCGATCTTGGTGGGCATCTCTAGCTCGTCTGAGATTTCTCTCATCTTGCTGGGGTCTGACAGGATCTCTTTCAGAGCCATCATGCCAGTGTCGTTTCTGTTTTGGCTGTCCTCGCTGGAGGACGCCTCACCGTTCTTCTCTTTGTCGTTGGCGCTGTCGTCCCGTCTCAGCCGGCCACATGTCTCTCTGAGGGGAGATGTAGACACATGTTTTCTCAGGAAATAAAGTAACTACTACCTTATAATGTGTCCAGGTCATGAGATATTAAAACTGGAAGGTCCCATGTAGTAACAGAACCGAAAACCTAATCATTTGAAAATATCGTCAAGACCTACCCATGCACGTACCTAGTTTTATGACAATCCATAGCAGCTTGAGTTATAATGCTGAACCACACGCACAGTGACATCATATGAGATGCCATTATAGAACAAGGCGGCTGAAATAATTTTTCCTTCAGTCCATGCTATTCTAACTGCGATCAGCTGATGCCTTCATCACAGATGTATACCATCGTCCTATCGTTACCGTTTTTAAAGAGACTCAAAAAAGTTGCTGATTTTATTCAAGGTACTAAAAATCCCTGCATTCAAATGGTCTTATACGTAATTACAAAACCAGGTAGTTTTGTTACCTGACGAACTTGATGATGGCTTTCCTGGCCTTGGGGCGGAAGGTCCAGTACAGATGTGGGTTGACCATACTGCTGATGATGCTGAGCCGCTTCGCCACGTAGTCAGCGTTTTCTGACGGGAGGATGCCCAACTGGTTACACAGTGTCCTGACCTGTGGAGAGACCAATAGCGTGGTGAGCAATTCCTTTCTGACACAGAGCTTGAAATGCCTTTTACTACTGCCTTGCACTGGTACAGGTAACAATAAAAATTACCTGCAATAGGTAGGCAAGTTTTACCTGCACCGCGCCCTGTTTACGCTTACTTAAACACATTCATATATATGGTGACTCTGTTTTGCCACTTGCTACATAATGTAATCCAATGCCACGGGATGTCTGCTACATGTACATTGTATGTCACAGTTACCATGTTCCAGGTCATTGTCCTTATTTGTTTGGAACGGAATGAGAATAAACGGATCAAAAACAATATCCTTTCCCTCTGTGGTGATAAACACAATACCCGGGGCCTAGCTTACCAGGATGGGCGCTGTGCAGACGATTGACACCATCGATGACCAGTTACCATGGCGACAGACGTCTGGTCCACGTCATTGCCCTTAAGCTTATTTGTTTGGAACGGAGTGAAGAAGAAACGGAGCAAAACAGTATATGTACCTTCTACGGATGTATTTTTGGTTGAAATTTGGTATGTGGGTAGGTCTTGGCCTTGTTTAGTTTTGTCATGGTTGTCTTTGAGTATTGACTGTAAAATCATCTGAAGAATAATGCACATTTAGAAAAAACAACAAGAAGAACGGGGTCCTTGCCAGGATGGGCGCTGTGCAGACGACAAACACATGATGACCAGTTACCATGGCGACAGACGTCTGGTCCAGGTCATTGCCCTTATTTGTTTGGAACAGAATGAAGAAGAAACGGAACATAAAGGAACATAACATAATAACCTGGCCCCTACCAGGATGGGCGCTGTGCAGACGACAAACACCACGGACACCATGACGTCCAGTTACCATGGCGACAGACGTGTGGTCCAGGTCATTGCCCTTATTTGTTTGGAACAGAATAAAGAAGAAACGGAACATATAATAACCTGGCCCTTACCAGGATGGGCGCTGTGCAGACGACAAACACCACGGACACCATGACGACCAGCAGGGTGAACTCGGAGTACTTCTCGTGGCGGCGCCGGCCCCGCTCGTTCCCCGCCTCCTCGTCCTGCGGCGCCCGCTCCACGCGCCCGTTCATCCGCTGCACCTCCAGGATCACGTACAAGTTCATCACCAGCAGGATACCGATCAACACGAAACCTGGAAGGGAGAAGGAAAAAATGCCCTATACTTAATTGCACAACTGTACACAGGTCACAGGTTTACATCTATTCTATACTGGCCAAGCCCTCTCAGATCTTCGTTGGTTGCGACTGGTGGGATGAGGCAGGTGCTCCAAAAATGAATATTCGATTGCCAGTGAAAAGTGCTCATAACAAAACTTAGTGCTCCTGCCATGGCCGTCTCCCCTGCCCAATTAGATACCCCCGTTTTAGGCCGATTTCAACCACTTATTCAACCTGCCAAGGAGTCTAATGGAGACTAGTGATAGAGGAATACATGCTAAGTCACAGTTGGGATCGCATTGTACTGGGGCAGCGCCATCTTGCGGCGTGAATTAGTAGGAACAGTCAGTATTGCCATATGAACGGTAGCAAGGGGACTACTATAGCGTTTGCGGTATTTTGTGCAACGAAGAACTGCATTTTCTAGTATTTCTTCTACCGAGCGTAGGTTTTTATCAGCCCTATCACGTACCCTGCACGACAGTCCAGTAGATGTAGAAGCGTCCAGAAGCGGTGGAGTCGGACCAGTCGAAGGAGCAGACCACCTCAAATATCGGAGCCACGGCGACGACGTCCAGGAGCGGTAGGACTGCGAAGACAGCCTGTAGAACACACGGCAAAACCGGTAAAGAGCTGTGTTGGCTGCAGGACATGGACATTCTTGGCAGCCATAACGATAATGGGCCGAATGAGCCAATTGAAGACATACGTCTGAAATGCTTGCATCCTCCTTTGACATGTTGCTTAATTTTGCCCAAAATTTGTGCTGGCCTCCAGTCTATCGTGGTTTGGGTGGGCTTTCTTCTATACATTTCATACATACATACGTTGTAATTTGATAAGAATTATGACTTGAATGATAAGAACCCCAATCAATAGTACATTTGAATGACTGACTTTCAGACAATCTCATGTTGTTATACGTGGTGACTTTTAAAAGTGCGACGACAACTTCAGACATTTAGTTTATTTCTTTGACCTGAACGCTGCATGGCAAAAAGATGTACCAGGAGAATAGCCACATGTTAGATCCCTGCCATTAAAGAAGAATACCTTGCTGTTTACGATTCCCATAGGTTTAAAAGGCTAGTAGCCTGTGAAACCCAAGCTCCGGGGGGCTCCCTACATAGTCCGCCACCCAAGATTGGTTGGCGGACGGACTACTAGGGAGCCGCGGCGAAACGCGAGGTTCAGTCAGGCTAAAAGGCTAGCACTCACCGAAAAGACCGAAATGGCGATCAAACCGCAGACAGCCGTCCACGGCTTGGCCCAGGTCACGTAGCGGAATGGAAACATCAGAGCAGTGAACCGGTCCGCTGCGATCAAAACTACCGCAAACTGCGAGCTGCATGGAGAAGAAAGAATCGGGTAATCTCCAAACAGTTTCTGTGGGCCAAATGGGATATATTGGCCGCCTGTATCCATTTGCTGCCGGCACTTGGGTGGCGAACTGGCCAATTTGATACTGTCTTGCCAATTTGACACCGTAGCCACCCAGAGAATCTGCTTGGAGATTAAGAATTGGGCACATTGCGAATCACTAAAACCGGCCTTTATGGCATCAACTAAGTCGGTGCTTGCTATCACGCCGTAAATAGTTTCATCAGGTTGGTAAGTCACTGAATAGAAAGACTGTTTTTACGCAACCAATTTTTTTTTTATTCAGCCGACGTTTCGGTGACCGTCTGTCACCTTCCTCAGGACAATTCTGGCTGGTTCACATCGCACAACACAGGTGTCGCTGCTTATAATAATGAAAGACCTTTATTTTTGCTCATTGCGAACTAAGTACAGGTCACGCCATGGCCAATAGCGATGGTAGACTAAAGTATATCTATAGTAAAACTACATATGTACAGGTTCTGCTTCTTCTCGGTTCGTAAGACAGTTGTAAATGTAAGAACATATGGAGCTGATACTAAAAGTAGTACGAGGGTTATCATATAGATGACTAGATCACAACAAAAAGGAGAACAAGAAATAGGAGATTTTAGACTTGACTTTGACCTTGACTTTCGTAAATTGGAAGTATTTTGGGGTTTCGTGAGCTTCAAGTTCTCAAGACTTTTTTTCTTAAGACCTTTTGATAATGATGATGATGATGACTGGTTTATTATTCACATAAACAAATACATAGACATACAGGTTTAAAAGTCGGTGGCAGCTTAAATGGCTGATTTGTGGACTTTTTTTACAATTTAAAATCTTGAGAATATTATATTATCAATTCAGACTTGAATACAAACACTACATATACATGTACATAGGAGATACAATATCAAAGGTACGAAAAGCCTGTTCGCCCAGTACAACAACCAGTATGTTACAGAACTTGCGTATCGTTCAGCAACTTTGTCATATAGTAAATAGAGCTCTTAGTGAATCGAACAGTTCTGGGTCTGAGAGTTTGTAGCTGTTTCCACAATTCCAAATTTTGAATTACTTTCAGCTCATTTGATCAAGAACATTATATACATTCAATATACTAATGTCCCTGATTTGATAGAGTCTTTGGAAGTCCACCCACTTATTTCCCCGCCAGCTAGAGCGTTTCTGCTTGACTGATGTAATAATCACTGTGTGATGTCGACGCAATGAAGCATGCGCGTGGAAAAGTGAATTCATCACTAACCTTGTCAGGAGGAAGATATGCATGAAGGCGTTGTATGCGCATGCGTGCCAGCCGCCTGTCCAACACATGCCCCGGAAGTAGGCTGCAGCAACCAGCGGAAATGAAAAGGCTGATGGGAAGACAAAAGAATATAACATCAATTAAGTTTTATTTCGCTCTATTCAATTATGATCGCCACAAGTAATCATCCGGTTGCAGCATATACCTTCGCACAGTACATCACAATGAAAATAGACATTCACCGCCCTCTTTTGGCATAGTCATATATCTATCATTATCATATAGACGGGTGACGTTGACCAGTCAGAAGGCTCCATTCCACATGGTTTATGACGCCGTAATAGAGTCACTAATAGAGTCAAAAGAGGACATTATTCGTCCCAATCCATACATAAAACAATCCAATAATCACCCGCAATTGACCTAGGGTGTCCCAAATAGAACACGACTCTGTTCCAAAAAATCCAAAAATAGCTTGAGTTATGCTCCAATGACCTCGAGTGACTCCCATAAGGAACACATTTTCCCTGCCGATGACCAAATCACAGTAACGACAGTGAATTCCCAACATGTGACAGTCACTGTCACTTCACTTGAAACATGCTCGAGTAAGAATCCTACTTAAACTCTGTTACCACTAACACTTGCACAGGGCTCAGATGTGTATGAAGAACTCATAAGTAGTTAATGGTTACGTTCTGTTCCGTGTAACAAAAAACGGAAATGTCACAAGTCCATGTACATTCCTGTCTTCTGTACTCAACTGTCGCAACTTGGCTTCAATGTCGGGAGGAATTTCTTGTTGTTTTCTATTGGTCCAGTTTGGATACTTTGGGGTAAGAAGGAACATGTAGGGTCTAAACTTTCCTACTTTGGTGAATTTTAGTCAAACCCTCTAGTTTCTTCGTATATTTTGGATTTTGACTTTCTTGTGCAGAGGAATATTTGAGATGTGGGAAAGTTCTTTTATAAGGCCCTGTTTGGATGCATTCACAATGTTTCCATTTCAGTTACTGCCACAGACTGTAATACTACTATGACATGTTTACTCCTCACGGTGTTTCAATTTCAGTTACATATCTTCCCCACAACAGACGTTCGACATTCACCGCTTCGTTGAGTCGTTCTTAATTGAAGCGCGCCGTCGTCACACACCATCGCGTTTACGGTTATCAACTAGCGTATGCATGTCATAATCCCTCAACTGTAAACTTGTAAATGTGCGTTAGGCCACATCAAGTAATTTTAATGGATGACATCAGCGTGCGCATTGATTTTTGCCGTACTTTGGAAAAAATTGTTGTCTTCTGAAAGTGGTCATCATGTAGAAAATGGGCAAAAATGTCTGTTACCATGTCGTAGAATGCCAAAATCAAACGAAAAAGATGAAAATGTAAAGAAATGAATTGGAAGAGTAGATTATTCGCCTTACCATACTCATTTGTTCAACCTTCATGACCACGTACATTTCTTAATGAAAGCAACCTTTTTTTGGCCAAACCCTTTTTTTTTATTCACACGCTCGCATCAGTTTTGGGGTTCCCAGAGGATGTGATCCATATGATCAAACCAACATTGCCTTACCCACATCATTTCTAATTTTGATGTGCACAGAACTAGAGGATGAAGAACAGAAAATGATAAAGGAGGCAATCATCGTCCCCAACCTTCAAGCTGATGATGTGACGATGTGAGTAATTTTCATGAAAGACTTAGAGGAGATGAACCATTTGATGTGAAGCGGTTGTCAACAGCGTTCTTGCTAAGATGTGCACGTCATCATCTCTTTAAAGGCAACCAATGCAATTTTTGGCTAGCAAATCTGGAAATATTATATGAATAAGGTACATGTAATATGTATTGTGTTGACATATACTGTCCCACATATTAAGTACGTTTGCATCATATTTTTGGCATTTAAAGCAACGCAGAAAGCCACAAGTTGAGTCCTCTGTTTTCAGGGTGGTACCCCCAAAATCAGCCCATGATCCTACTGATAAAGGTTTTCCGCCAGAATTTTGGCATTTCTGCTCCATGAATGACATGCCATAATTTTTTGCTAAGATAAGACTCTCTTTTGGTGGAGAATATGATCAACTGATATAATTCATGGAAATGAGGATCCTATGTGCATAGTCTGGAGAAATAATATATAATTTTTCAGTCATAAAGAGAGAGAGACAGTTTCATTCGGTGCAGCCAAGAACGTAAATTTTGCCTCCGGTACGGTTCTAGATGCGTGTGAGATATCCAGAACCGTGCCTGAGCAAGGTTCTGGATAAAACACAGTTCTGGATGCAATAATTTTGTTATATGCCTACACCCGTCATCGTGCATGCATATGGCACATGGCTGTGTATCATTTAATCAATTTTTAACAAAAATAGAGTTTTTAATAAATTGTCATGTTACATGCACAGTTGTAGATATGCAGAAAAATAACATACTGACCTTTACAAATTACCTTCATCACAATGCTTAAGGGAAATCCAGGACAACATCTTAAGATCAGGTAACAGTGCACATCTGGGCCACACATGCAGTAAAAGCTTATCCATTAGATGAAAGTCTTAACATAAAGAAATATCATATACACCAGAGTAAAAGGTGAGGAAGTGGCGTGAGCCATCCAAACCTCTGATATGTATTATAGCGTAAGAACTACCATCATATGTGGAACAAAGAAGGCGTTTGATTTTTGATGTTGCAGTTTTATGCGGCCCCTGGCGTTTTAGTTAAAATTCTTCTTACAAAATAACACCTTTTTACATAACTCTGCTAAACATCACAATGCATGTGTAGTATATATGTGCTTTCATAATCATTGGTGGAATTTCTAGCGTATATATAGACTAGACATTATGTTAGAATTGCCATGAGATGTTTGGAACAAAGACGACTTTTGATTTTTGATGTTGCAGTTTTATATCCGGTCCCTGGCGTTTTAGTTAGGCGTGACAAAAGGTCAAAATTCTTCTTACAAAATGCCACCTTTTTACATACATGTAACTCTGCTATGCATAACAATGCATGGGTAGTATATGGGATGAGGATGTGCTTTCATAATCATTGGTGGCATTTCTTAGCCTCTACCAGGCTTCGGGAAGCGACTGGAAAGGGTAGAAAATCGGCCAAATAGACAGCATGCCATGGGAGTTTGGTCGGCTGGAGAGAATAGTTTGCCGCTCCGTATTCTCTCCAGCCGATCAAACTCCCTTGCTGTCTCTCTATTTGGCCGATTTCTACTCTTTCCAGCCGCCTCCCGAAGCCTGGTAGAGGCTAGGAATTTCTAGCGTTTAGGCCTTTTTATATATAAAGACATTTCCATATGAACAATGCATGGGTTGCTAAATGTCAATATGTATGTACTTGAATTTGCTACGTACTTAAAACCATCGGGAAAATCATGGTATAGAAGATGGCAAAAGATAGTCCAATAGCATTTTTGATACCTTAGGGGCAATATGTTATTAACCCACTAGGTCTAGGGCAAGATATTAGAAAGCAGAGACCATTCCTGTCCTCCCTCTACCTTTTACTAAATTTGGGTACCAATTTTACACCTGGGTTGAGTGAGGAAAGTCATACAAAGTGTAGTTAACAACGTCCTGCCAGGAATAGCACTCTGGTCTAGTCGGTCCGACCTTCCACGACATTCAGAAGATGGTAATCTTGTATATATAGATATAGAACCTACAATCAAAAAGTGATGTTCATCTTCTATTGCATGTACTTCTGGTCTTTTCTGGACAAAACGGACAAAAACGTGGTCAACATGGAGATGCATTTACTGGAATCTATCGGTGATATAGTTAAGTAGATGATGCTAGCCTACTATCGTAGTTAGGGCAGGCAGTCGTCGGCGCTCTAATATATTTTCACCCGCGCGTCCAGTTTAACAGGCCGCCCGGTTGGAGTGTTACGGCTGTAGGAGTTTTTCACGCCAGGAGGTGATCAACCCCATCACGATGCTTCTCGTCGTCGTGCAAAACCTACCGGGGGAAACAAACTGAATCGGGCGGGGAAGAGCTCCTGTAGCCCCGTAGAGCACCCGCCCCAACCGCGATATAGACACCAGGCTAGGATGCTACAGACTATTGTAAATCTAACTAGCTTGTGGGGTCGTGTGGCATAACGGCAGAGCGTTCGACTTGGACACCAAAAGAGGTCCCGGATTCGAACCCTGTCATGTCACCGATCTTGTGCCCTTGGGAAAGGCACTATTCTGGATGGAGGCCTGGCGAACTCCATCTAGTATTAGCCACAAAAAGGTAGCAGAATCTTCACCTAGTTGAAGGCAGCTGCCTCAAAATGAAAGAAGAAAGAAGAACTTACCTCCGGCGCCGAAGTCGTGAGCGGCCAGACCGAGCACCAGCACGGCGGGAACGCTCACCTCTCGCCGCAGCTTCTTCACCACCAGCACGATGACGCACAGGTTGGACACCGACGTGAAGACGGCGATGAACGCCCCGGACATCCCTCCTCCATAGTTCACCTCGTTCTCCGCCTTCTTCCCTGCAGTACAGTTGAAGATGTCGTCTAAATCTTTACCATACATCTTCGGTTGATACGGAAAGAGTTATGGGCAAGACGCCCCGGCTTGCATTCAACTACGAGTGTTCGTTCGCAAATCGAGACCCGTTCACTGTTAGTTGACTGCCGTATGACGATAAGGCCACTGCAAGTAAATCTTATAGATGGCATCCTCCGCAGACTCCAAATCTAATGCGAAAGGGCGAATACAAAGCAAGGCGGGGCCAAAAACAAAAAAAAAAACAAGCTTTCTATTTTCAAATTTTGAGATCATAAACCTTGTTAAACCAGATATTTTTTTATTCAGTGACAACATCACATATTAATATAAAGGAATGAAATACAACACAGCAACAAAGTAAAGTAAAGGACAAAATATTAAATCAAAGCCTTGTCTTGTCTCCTCTTTTCACATTTATCTGTCATCCACCCACCTTCCGGTATGGCAACGGACATCTTTACCCATTTGCGGCATGTTGTTCACTATCAGGGGGCAACACATTTTTTTTCTCCAAAATCAGGTGAAAATCAATGCAATGCGCGCGCTGATGTCATCCATAAAAATGACTTGCTGTGGCCTAAGATTAAGAACGCTGCTGTGATAGGGCGTCATACCCGTGGCAAATAATAGAGGCGTCGTCATGGCAATGCCATGGCAACGGCAGCAACTTTAATTACCACCTCCAATATCGTTGTAGTTTCATACTTCCGTTTGATGATTGCTTTGTGAATGGTATTTCTTTTTGTGAATAACTTTTGACGTAGGACGCATCAAATAATGGGGAAGGTACGGATTTTTAAATCAAATTAAAGTCGGTGAAACTGTTGGCGAATCAAGAACCGAGAATAAAAACTAATAAGATAATAAAAGTAATAACAAAATTGAGGAATAAACATTCAAAGGAAATACTGAGGATTCTTTACTTTCTCAGCTTGGTAACCTACTGATGTCTTATTTTGATGTACACAGATAGTGAAGAAAAGAAAAGGATGAAAGAGGCTGGTTCTGGAAACATCTCTCGTCCCCGATCTCCAAGCTGAGGAGGGCAAAAGGTAAGAACTTGCATAAAAGACTCAGAGGAGATGAAATTATACATTTGATGTAGAACGTTTTGATATTTTATTGAAGACATCTTTCTTTTTGAAAATCAAAGCACGCAGTTAAAGAGCACGAAAATACACAATCAATGAACATGTAGAATTGTTAGCGAATCCAGAACTGAGAATATGTGGATTCTTTACTTGTTCGAGTCTTAGTAACCCTCCACATTGTCATAAAGGCGTTAAAAATGAATTACATTTTATAATAGATTGCCCAACCTATGATGAAAACCGACGAAAATTGTTACAACATATTACATGTAAGACCAATATAACACTACCCCATACAAAGACAGAGATATTCTATATGTTACTATCATGCCCTGTCAACATTTCCACTTATGTAGGCCAATTTGTACACAATTCAATGACAAAACGAGAAAACGTAATTAATTCCTGACACAATTTATTACTACATTGTATTAATAGAGTTAGATTAGTATAATTAGTGTCTCTCTTTTGTTACTCCGTGAAGGAGGTCAGGACCTCCGGACGGAGTGTTGTAATCGGCTGATTTTTCATGTTCGCAGTCAAAACACTGGGTTCTCTTTGTGTAATCGGCACGCAATTTTATACGCCGTCTGCGGGCATGTCCGTGTTGATGCACGAATGTGTATTTTTGCCGTTGCTGCTTTTGCGGTCAATGTAATATCGCAGACGCACCCCTAAAATTACGAGGCGAATTGGAATGGTCCAGAAAAACGCGTTGTTTGGAATAGCAGTGGGGGGGGTAAAAGTTCATGCAGATACGGTGTGGTTTTTATAAGTGGTTCCAGATGTTTTTGCCCATGGTTAAGAGATGCCAAGTTTTTTGGAAGATGTTCGCAGCCAAAACGCATTCTTCCGTACGTCGCATTTCTGTGTAATTTCGCATGTGGTGTTGCATTATGTCCGGGATGATGCACGTCTTTTTATTTTTACCGTAGCTGTTTTGATATTGGAGTAAATGGTTATTTTCGAAACATCCCCATGCCGTTGAAATGTTGTCGTCCGTTTATGTCACCGGTAGTAATTATATAACGAGCGTGCTGGCCGCTTGACTGTACACATGGGCAATATTTTTGGGTTGGGCCGCTCCATAGTGTTAGTGGAGCAGCTCTTTGGAAAAATGGACAATATTTTTGAGCAACCAATCAATGTGTTTTGCCTCGTGGTCGGATGTGGTCTGGGGCTGGTAAACCACACATATTAGTAGATCGGATAATTTAATGATTTGCTAGTTGTAAACGCGTCCTGTAGTATGAGCCGGTATAGGAAGAAGTAGCCTGTGTTACACAATCATGCTTTCGGCCGGATGCCGGCCGCGGATTGATGTGCAACTGTTACTAATTACAGGGACTGCGCTAATGACGACCAGTCGCGCTGTCCTGATACACCGCGAATGTTGGGCAATATGCGAGTGGTTCCCTGTAGACAGTCCTGGGAGTCATTTTTTTCGCACATTCGCACATTCCAGGAGCCAAACCAAAATACGTTCATGAACCGAGTCCAAAAAACCGAAACGTGAAAATCGGATGATCGGACCTGATGTACATTTCTCTTTCTGTAGATTGTACACACAATACACACATATTAAGATAATCTGGCCATGGCAGGTAAAAAAAAGTAACCCTGAATCATACTAGATTAGCGTAAATGCATGTTTATGCGTTCAAAACAAGAAAAGTAATTGTTTCCCGATATTAATCTCTTGAAACACGGCGCTGAATATTGACGCAAAAATATTTCGGGCATCGCGCGCCCTTCCCCGTTGTTTAGACTGTATGCAAATCCCGCGTCACGTGTCGGCATTTCGCATCTCTGATTGGTTGTTGCGTCTTAAGATGACTGAGCCGACGCGCGTTTAAACAATTTTTCTTTGTTCGATTTATCACACTTCACAGAGAATTGTCGCCAATGGCTACTTCTTCTTGTTGCAATATATAATACTTCACGGAGAATTGTCACCTATGGCTTCTTGTTATACATTGTTTATGAAGCAGACCAGATTCCTATTACAGTTAGTAGAACTGTTAGATATTCTCAACACCACCATATGTGTATGTTAACACCACAAGCTATGTAATGTATATTTTGCCATACGTTGAACCCGCCACATCTGTTGCGCAATAAAGTTCTTCTTCTTTCTTATTTTGATGTACACAGAGAAGGATAGAGGAGGGTGGTTCTAGAAGCTACCAACGTCCCCGACCTTAAAGCTGAAGACGTGACCACGTGAAAAGGTGAATGACTTTCCTCAAAGACTTAGAGGAGATGAACTTTCACATTTCACTTAAGGAAGACCCAGTTCTAATGACATAACCTCAGGTGGACATATAACAAAAATTCAATAGAGTCTTCTCTTGCGATAGCTATAATACAGTTATCTTTTAGCGCCTTGCAGAATGATCGTATTCAAAGGGTAAATAAGGTTTCATACAGTAGGTTTGACGAAAGTAAAAGATCTTCTTTTAAGTCTCCTTCGCAGAAGTGGTGCCTTTTTGTCTTTTTAAAAAGCCGCTCGTACATGTAGAAGCAAACGCTGTCCCGCTAGAATTGTTGTGTCCCAAACCGTGCCTGGGCGGGCACAGAACGGGACACAGCCTGACTGTCCAGAACCGTGCCCGAAAGTGCTGTCAATCATAGTTATTAGCGAGAACCAGGCACGGTTTGGGACAAGGCTATCGCGTGTCCCGAACTGTGCTCAGTCCCCAGGCACGGTTTGGGACACGCACCGAGTGTCCCAAACCATGCAGGCACGGTTTGGGACAAAGCACGGTTTGGGACGTAACAAGAACTCTGTGCCGGGGGCTACCTCCTCTCTAATTCTATGAATTCTGACATTTGCAAACGTAGAATTCATATTACTGTGGCGTAGGATGAAAAGGAAAACACTCTTATTGTTATCGTAGATACGTTTGTAATAGTACCGCAAGAGCCCTAGGCGAAGACGCCATGCAGTAAGAAAAACATGTTTACAGCAACGTGCTTGCTGTGTTTTTGTACTCATTACGCACAAGAAAAAGACATAAAAGTTACTTTAAAATTACCCACGGGAGATTATTATAGAAGAAGAAAAACTTCATTGCACAACAATTGTTCATGGTACAATGTATGACAAGGACTCAAGGACTAATTGTATAGAGGCCACACCAATTTAATTTGTTGGTTTAATTCTGATTCTAAATCAACTCAAAAATGCTCATATTTTGACACCAACAATTGAGGAAAGTCCATTTCTTCCTAGTTGTGTATAACAGTTTTCCTATCTATCAATGCAGTGGTTTGATTAAAAGTTCAAAATTCATTGTTTAAATATTAACCCAGCCTTTTGTGTTGACTTCATGGCTCCTAACGTAGCATTTGGGGCTATAATAGGAGGCTGAGACCTGTTTTTATTTTTATTTTTTCCGCCCTGTCGCTTCATATTTTTTCTGAAAGGAATCCAAGAACCAACAAATTAAATTGGTGTGGCCTGAACATAGCACACAATTAAAAAAAGGGTATCTTTATTTTAAATGCATCACATAATCTCCGCTGGACTGGAAACTTCTAGAAAATAAAATACTTTTTTTTGTCTCCATGACATTATATTATTTCAATTTCAATTTTATTAAGAATAGTCAACATAGCAGGGGTACATAGTACTCCTGAATTGTGTGGACTTTACATATTATTAAGTATAAGAAACGCACAAGACAATTACATATAGGAGTAGGACATGAAACAAAAGAACACTAAGTCTGCATTTCGCTATTGTACAGTCTGATTGTGCAATGGAGGAATGAGTTGTACAGTTTGTCCGTGCCTTGGGCACCGTGATTCCCCCAGAGTTCCTCAAACACCTCCCTGTGCTGTCCGACCTGGCTCCTGGTACCAAATCATGTAGTGGGTGGTCAGGGCTGAGCATACACTTGAGCAACTTGACAGCCGCAAGTTCACGTCTTTCTCGGAGTGTTGGGAGGTCGGGAACATTCCTCCTTCCACCCAGAGAGATGATCTTCAAGGCCCAATTATTATCCCCAATACGAATCTGAAAGAAATTACTTAGTCAGTCAATGACATTTTGTAACTATACCAGTGTGCTTTCCTGTGGAATGATACAAGTTAATGCTCCCCCAACATTTCTTTGACCTCAAATGATACAAGTCAATGCTCCCTGAAAGATGTCTTTGTAATGTATATGTAGCCTTGGAGTCGGCGTGAATAATGCACTAAAAGCAGATGTAGATGTCCCTTGCGGGTACCCCGCGCCTTTGCATCCTGTAATAGGTAAGGCCATGTTGATTTGATTATATGGATGACATCCTCTGGGAACCTCAAACCGATGCGAGCGTGAGAATAAGAAAAAGGTTGAGCAAATGACACAGATCTAGAGTATGGTATGGCGAATAATCTCTTCATTCTACGACATTGGTATTGTTTTCCAATCTTTTTTTTTTACAACTTAGGCCATGTTGATTTGATTATATGGATGACATCCGCGCGCGCATAAATTTTCGGCCGTTTCCAAAAAAAAATATTCAACAATACTGTAAATCATACAAAACAGTTGCAAAATGAGCAAATATATACCAGAAGTTGAAAAAAATATATATTTGAAAACAATACCAATGTCGTAGAATGCCAAAATACTAAACGAAAAAGACGAAAATGTAAAGAAATGAATTTGAAGAGAAATGAATTATTCGCCATGCCATACTATGTGACATTTGTTCAACCTTCAAAACCACGTAGATTTCCTTATGAAAGCAACTTTTTTTTGCAAAACTTTTTTTTACTCGCACGCTCGCTTCAGTTTTTTGGGTTCCCAGAGGATATCATCTATATAATCAAATTAACATGGCCTAACAGGTAAGTGCTTACACTCTACCGACTTAAAACGTGACACAATGCCCAAAGGGCCACACAGTTACACCTTTGAATACCGATGGCGAAATTCACATGTGAAAACTTACAAACAGGATCCAAATAACACCTGAAACAAGACACGTATTCACATGTATGTTTTTGTTATAAGTAAATTTTATGGATGACGTCCGCGCGCGCATTGATTTTGGCCTGTTCCTAGAAAAAAAACCAAGAAATTCCGCTTCCTGTAACTATGACCAAAGAGTCACGACAGTAGAGAGAGATGTAGAGATGTAGAGAAAGAGAGAGAGAGAGAGAGATGTAGCGTTGTATAGATGCTTGACTTCTATATCTAATTGACGTTTGCTATGGCCATGTGGGTTCGTAATTGCAGAGACACGTGGGGCTTTCGCGCGGCGCGGTATTTTGTGATATTTGAGTCACCTCCAACCACTTGCAATTGGTACCTGCAACTGTCACGCATATGCTTGCCGACAGGGGGCGCAAATGCGCGGTCATGGCAACCAGGATGGCGCCAGTGCTCCTCTGCACACACTGCTCGTACTACTCGTTTCTGAGCAAACCTTGGCGCTAATATATTTAATATAGATGGATAGACAAAATCCAGATCAAGTAAAGACCAAATGATCGATGAATCCAGGCGCGTCATTTTCAAATCAATCAACAAGAGTGTCCTACACTCATCTCTATTTTCGGTGTCGGATATCTTCATATATTTCATCAAATCAAAAACTCCCGGTCCATACCATAGTATATATATATGCTTCTTTACAATGTATTACAAAAAATCATGAGCTAGAAGAACAGTAACATATAATCTGAGTCGAATTTGAAAGAGCCAAAACCAACTAGAAAGGCCAATATTTGCTTTGGAGCAAATATAGCGATGGGTTCACCACATTTTACCACATGGCAGGGAAAGAATGAGAAACACAAGGGAAAACAATGCTTTACATTGATATAACTATAGTATGAAGTAACATACAACTAAGACTACAACAGTTGGATAGCTATTCCCTACATTATTGGTTAGGATTGCATAATGCAAACTGTTGATTTTCAAGATAAAAAGAAGCGTTCATAGCCCGCATTCCAATGCTGGAGCAGGAAAGCTTAAAATACCTACCAAAACACTTGAATACAGACATACTGTCAGTATGGCATGGTTCTGTGCAGGTGTAAATGAAGTTAAGCCAGTTAAATCCCAACAGCCAATCAGCAAGGAGAATAGAGGAAAGCTGCATGCCTATTGGTTGATGCCTTGCATGCCATTGTGATGACTCATGTCCAAATGTGGTAAACACTGCACACTTACACAGTAATACATTAGCTATTACACAGCCAAAAAACTCAAATAAAACCATTCTAAAAGCCTGTATCACAATAATTTAAAAAACGCCTAGGGGTATTTGCCCACTGTACCTCCATACCAAATTTCAGGACCTTAGGCCCTAAAATGAAGAAGCTGAATCCATTTAAAGATATGGCAGGAGGAGGAGAAGGAGGAGGAGAAGGAGAAGAAACATCAGAAAAAGCAATATGGTTTCACCACACCACTTCGTGGTGTGGTGAACCCATAACTATCACTCCATTTTGGTATGTTACCTGAAACAAAGTCGGATTACTGGGAAATTATTTAACCTACATTCTTACACTTTTCATCCTTTCATCTTGCTGTTTTTTCAGATGTAAAATTAAATTTTTTCCCAGCAAATATCACAAGTAAGGCTTACGGGCTTGAGCGAAAGACAATGTTTTAGAGTTCAGCTTTTTGCTCCCAAAGCATCCCCCCTGCAAAGCGAATGGCACCTTCCGAACCAACATGGCCGCCGAAGAGAACTGAAGATGTCTGCATCGATGTCAATGTCAACATTCTGTGTCAACAAGATATTCTGTCGACTACTGCAGATTCTACGGCGAGAATTCAGGCAACAACTGACACCTTAAACGGACGGTAGGTAGCTCTTTTCAACTGTGTAAACAAAACGCCGGTTTCGCTTACGGTGTGCGAGAATTCCTGCATTTTTCAGAATGATTTATTTCTTAAATACACATATAAACGCCCACGTATCTCTTTCTTCATCTCGGTGAATTTTTATGTTCTTAGTTCTAGACAGATGATATTTCATAGATCATTTTGACATAGTGTGAAAGTATAGATCTGTGATCGCCGAGGGTGTCAGAAATGTTTAGGAAAGAAAGTTGCGTTGCCAGTTTTGAAAGCTAGGGGGCGGACCGTTGTATGTGCGTGTGTTTGTGTGGTTTTGTGCTAGAAATAATCAAATGAGTTTCAGTACAGTTTATTTTCAGGTCAACTATTTCTGTCGATTTCTTTTTACGTCTTATGTAATTTTTTTTCACTGCAAGCTGATAATAATGAATGGTCCCCACCCCCAGTAATGGATGGTCCCCAGCCATCCCTTTTGTAGTGTACAAATGTACTGTCCCTAAGTGCAGCTTTCCACATCTGTTTGAGATATGGTGGAAGCCATCTGAAAGTTGTTGGTGGCTCCCCCTTTCTTGTGAGGTAGCCCACTACACAGGGACAGCTAACAGTAATGAACAGTCCCCAGTTATTCTCTACCATCAAGTAACGTCTAATGTACCACCCCCATGTGTAGTTTTCATCAGAAGTATTCTTATCTGTACATGTAACTAATGTTTGTGAGAGTACTGACTGTGATGACTACCATTTGGTACAACTAACACAGCGTACCTTAATGAAGTAGTTAGTGGACAGTCCCTAGTATTTCCTTTCCCCAGTGTATAATGTACCATCCCCAGTTGTAGTTTTCATCATCAGTTTTCTCATCTAGATTGTAAATGTAACGTTATATGATAGTAACCGACTCTGACAGCTACAATTTTTCACGACTATCCATATTAACGAAGAACTGCTAGCCAGCGTTAATGAACAGTCCCCAGCTCCTTTCCTGCACCTTTCAGCCCAGGTAATTTGATCACCCCCTTACTAATTACATTTTATACAGCAGGGGGCACAGCGCACAGGGGTTTTATGTTGCACACATGCAAACAAAAGAGGTAACAAAATCCCTGCAGCATATCCGATTCCGCAGGGGCCATGTATAAACTAGGTACTGCAGAGAGATACTCAAACTGCGGGGCGCGGATCCAAAGACCGTCTTATTTCTAAATTCTTCACAAATTCCAGGTGTCGTCTTCTTACTTCAGTCTCTTGTACAAGACCTGAGGGTAAGCCAGGTGGTATTTTTGACTTCTCAAGACTTAATCTCTAAGGGATATCTTGTTTCAAATCTCAGACATCTTGCTACTGGTGGGTTGAGGTACAGAGAAACATTTAGGTCACAACAGTTATGTGGTAAAGCTACAGTCTCATATCTCCTGTATGGTACCTCATTGATGTAATATGCTTAACTTTTACTTGCTTCAGCCTGTGAGTATTAGACTTGGAGGTCAAGTAGATTGTCAAGAAGGTCAAGAAACGGTGGTCTGTGCTTGTAACTGGGGGGCGACTTTCAAGGTCGTTTCTGTTGACTTTCATCTCTGCAGTCTTGAACCTTAAATTGTATTCAGTATCTGTTGTCAAACTTATTGCCTACCTTGTTAAGTTATTACCTTTACCAAGATGATGTTTTCGGTGCCACTTGTGTGTGTGTGCATCTGTGGGGGCCCGCATGCCCTTTTCCGTAGAGCGTAATCGGACGTTATAATTCTACGTAGAGCGTAGATGGGCCGCTCTAATTCAGCGTAGAGCGTAATTGGCGCATTTTGTGTAGAGCGCATATGATGTTTTAATTGCACGTAATGCATTGTAGTCACTAGGAATTTATCGTAAAGTGTAATCGAGGCGTTTCCTGAATTCAGCGTAATACGTAACCGGCTCTCAAAATTTAACGTAGAGCGTTGTCGGGACCCCCCATGCAGGCCCTCATCTGTGTGTTTGCCTGTGGACTCGTGAAGTCATGAATGTACCTTTATGATATTTGGTCTAGGTATGTCATCATCATCATAGGTAGCTAGGTAGGTGTCAGTAAAACGAGGAACAGGTTTGATTATGGGCCACCTGATGGCTTCGTATGGTACTGCACTTTTTATATTTCATCATTTATAGATTGTGACAACTGACAATGCAAGTTCTCATATTTTTGGTCTATGTTGATATTAGTATTACGATACATGTTCATTACTTCTTTACTTGGACTATTAGTAATAGTATTACATTTTGTGAAAAGTGTATGAATGTCAGATAGAGTCAGTTTTCAAATCTGTTTCAGACTCCAACCTTGACAAGAGGCTCAGTTGCTGGTGTCATACATGGACAGAAACCAACCTGCAAGGTACAAGTATGCTACCCACATTGATTTTGTCTTTAAAGGCATCCTATGCGATTTTAGGGCAGCAAAACTGGACATATTCTGAATAAGGCAATCTTGTGATATTGACACATACTGCGTCACATTAGCACATTTGAGTCAGTATTTCATACTAGTACTTTGGGCTTTTAAAACTGCAGAAACAAGCCCAAAGATGATTCTGGGTGGTACCTTAAAAATCAACCCAGTGCCCTTTCAGTAAGCATTTTTCATCAGAATTTTGGGATTTTTTGCTCCATGCATTGGGATAGTGTGGTTTCAACTGTAGACAAGATAAATGACTAGAATATCGGCTTTGAAAAATCGGGTTTTCAAGCCATAAAAAAAACATTTTGATGGTTTGCCATTCACACCCACACTGACAGTGAAATTTTGTCTGGGCAGTGTAACAAGTGGGTATATCAAAATTAATGATATCCAGATGCTATTTTGACTGTTTTTAAACCTTAATGTATCACCTGTACGTGTTTGAGTCTATCATATCACTTTAATCATCCTTATTAATCCGTCCCCCAGTTTGTCAGTAATGTACCCCAGCTATCCTCCTAACACAGTGTCACAAGTAGTTAACTGAAACATTATTCTTCCTTCAACAGTGCTTCAGCTAGCTGGTTTTGGGTTGCCTTGTTGTAAATACGTGAGGGCCTGCATGGGTGGGTGGGGGGTGGGGGTGGGACGGCAACGTTCTACGATACATTTTGAGCGCCGGCTACGTATTACGCTACTGTAGCGATTACCCTTTTCGATAAATTCCAAGTGGTTACAATGCATTCCGTATAATTAAAACTCGAATTACGCTCTACGCAAAATGCTACATTACGCTCTACGTTGAATTAAAGCGGTCCGTCTATGCTCTACGTAGAATAAAATCGGCTGATTACGCTAGATATGGAAAAGGGCATGCGAGCCCCCGTTTTGGGTTGCCTTGTTGTAAATAGGTGGAACCCTGGATATCATGTGGGTATCATATTCCAGCTTAGTGTCTAGGCAAACAGGAATAACAACAGAGTCTTTCCATCACGTTTCTATCAACACTAACTAGCTATAGTGCAGCCTGGTGACCATTTTCTATGGGCTTTTGCTTTGGAGTGTTTCCTCTCTGGTTTGTTGGTACAGGGTCTTTCTAAAAGACGCGACATAAGTGAAAGATCTAGCCTTCACTTGGCAATAGGGCACACTTTTAAGGGGGCCCACGTGCCCTTTTCTGTAGAGCATAGTCGGCCGTTTTAATTCTACATAGAGCGTAGACGGACCGCTCTAATTCAAAGTAGTGCATTTTGCGTAGAGCGTAATTCGACGTTTTATTTTACGTCATGCGTTGTAGCTACCCGTAATTTATTGTAAAGTGTAATGGGGGAGGCGTAATACATAGCCAGCTCTCAAGATTTAGCGTAAGGCGTTGTCGGGCCCTCTTTTAAGCACTGAAGACATTGGGGAGCCACGGCGATTTTTATGGATTGTTTGAATGTGTAATGTAGATACATGTATTTAGAATTGGGATTTCTAACTGTAGTTATTATGTCTTTTTCAGGGGATGTTATGAAGAAGAGAGACAGTGTAGTCTGGTTACAGCTTTAATAGAAGGTTTGTCCTATGCTAGCATCTCTTTGATAGTCTGAGTACCATCCTGGTTAGGCCACACCAATTCAATTTGTTGGTTCTTGGATTTTTTCAGAAAAAAATAAGAAGCGACAGTGCATACTAGTATAGAGGCGAATCCGAGAACCAACGTTAACAAATTAAATTGGTCTGGCCTTAGTTTGTGTCCACTCTCAAAGTCGCTACAGACCAAGCAAGGCTTTTGCTGCATAACAAGCTAGGATAAGGAAGATGTACCACACTGTAACTGATTTGAACATTTTGGTTGTAGTTCATCCCTATTTTGCATACAGTAATCCAGGATGTATAAAAGCCTTACATGTATATATATTTAGATTTTTTTTTTTTAACAAATCTTTATTCAACAGAACAAAAGAGCGTACAAAATGATATAGCATAAGAGTACACACACACTGAATTACATAAAAACATTCTACCCAGTCGATATATTTGCTAAAATCCCCCATTTTTTGTAATGACTGATCATATTGTTTTGTTTTCATGCGATAGGTTTAGGATAGGTTTAGGATTCATCTGTACTTGTCGTGGATGTCTTACTTTAAGCAATGTCTTAAAAGTACGCCTTAGATGATGTATGTCCTAGTTACCTGATACCATTGAGACTACAGGTGATGATATATTAGATATGCTGGCAGTTAATGCCTCATTTAGCAACAGGCAACCTTGCCTTGATCCCATTCAGAGGCAGTTTGACTTGCCTTGTCAGAGCTCATTACTGTAATTCCGGATTTTTTCACGGTACTTTTATGTTCACGGTTTTCACAGTGACTTATTAGTACTGTTAATAAATAAATTGCTGACTTTTCTTTATCCTGCACCTGCAGTCACCGTGAAAATATACAGTAGTTCCATTTTTTTCTAATTTTTTACCTTGATTTTGATAATTTTTGTTCAAAAAATCTTCCAACACCCCACCCCCTGTGAACTGTCCCTGGAGAGCAGCATTCAAACCCCTCCCCCAGTCTCACTGATGTGAAATGATCCTCCCCTATACCTCTTGTTAACGCATGCATTCTAGCACTTTGGCATATAATGTTCAATATGGGCATAAGAAATACCAACCCACCCTCAGTGAACTGTCCCTGGAGAGCAGCATTCATACCCCTCCCCCAGTCTCACTGATGTGAAATGATCCTTCCCCAACCTCCTGTTAATGCATGTTCATGTATTCTAGCACTTTGGCATATAATGTTCAACATGGGGGCAATAGATACCAACCCATCCTTCCAGCCTCTTTGAACTGTCCCTGGGGAGCAGGATTCGAACCCTCCCCTAGTAATACTGATGTGAAATGATCCTCCCCTAGCCTGATGTGAAATGATCCTCCCCTAGCCCCCTGGGAATGCAGGTATTCCGGCACCTTTCCAATAGTAGGAGTCCAGACAGCTCCAATCATCCCTATTGAGACTGGGGGGCCCAGTAGGGTCAGGTTTCCATCTGTCTGCACTGCAGGAGCCCAGCTGGACCCTGGAAGGGCCAGTGAAAATCACTGCACGGGTTGCCAGACCCTGGCTAGAGAAAATACTGACATAACTGAGGGCCTGCATGAGGGCGTCCCCACAACACTCTACGCTAAATTTTTGAGAGCCTCCCATTACGCTTAATGATTAATTCATTGTGTAGAATTAAAATGGCAGATTACGCTCTACGCAAAATGAGCCAATTACGCTCTACGTTGAATTGGAGCGGTCTGTCTACGCTCTACGTAGAATTAAAATGGCAGATTACGCTCTACAGGAAAGGGCATACATATGAATCATATATGGTAAGATTTTCAGAGCCAAGGAGCTAGCCTGTATACTGCCCCTGGCAACAGTCTGCTACCCAGGCAATGCTGGTTATAAGGTTTCAAGACTGTTGACAGTGGAAATTTGTATGTTTTGATTCAGCAGTAGGAGAAAAGGAGCTTTTAATAATCCAACACTTGGTTTAGAGGGCACTGTGAAAACATGAAAATAAAACCACTGTGAGCAATTCAAGATTTGCAAAGATACAATGTCAACACAAGGCCTTTTGGCCCCTTAGGGGCAACCAATAGATGAAATAAGTTGTGCAAAGCTCATCACACAAAAGCAGTTGAAATGTTTTTCCAAGATGATTCATGCAAGATATACAGATTGAGAACACTTGACTAATGCTCCATTTACTTCAGTGTCAGTGACCTGTGCTGTGTGGTATCATTTCAGGCTGAAGTGTTTTAAAAGTCAACCATCCTGGAGATAGAAAAAAACGGACAAAACTCCCCTAAACCATTTTAAAGAAAACCTAACAGTGAAGCTTAAAAAAACGTTGAGTGTTGACATGTACAATCCTCAACTTTAATCGATGCTTTTTCAGTTTGACTGCAGTGTAGCTTTGCTACATTGTACAGCTCATGTTTGCATTCAAGCACACTGGGGCCCAGGGCACCCCTATTCTTCTTAATAAGTGTGTTGGGTTCTTTTACATGCAGAGGTTTGACGCTTAAGTCTAATGCCTTAGAATACACAGGGCATAGGCTTTATTGTACCATCCAAAACAACTGCAATGAATTCCCCTATATACAATGTAAATATACTACTTTTTAAATGCTAGTATTAAAGTATGGACATGTCATGCTAGTTATTGCAACTTCTTAATGAAGATATTTCTTATCTTCTGCACTACAGAAACCAAGTAAGACGTTGCTCCAAGATGAAGGATTTTTCCGAACATTGTCAGGAGGTTCTCCGTCGCCTGAACAGCCAACGACTGAACAGCCAGCTGTGTGACATCACAATAAAGGTGAGTAGTTATATTAGCAGTGCTACATTTGGAACAGAAGGTCATGAGTTTGAAGCCTGGTTGTTGTTTAGCCTAGGTACCATCCAGGTAGGTGTAGGTCCGCTCCCACAGTTGCTACTGGTACTTGACTGTGGGAGCAGACGTAAACTAACCAGGATGGTACCCAGGCTAGGCTGTTGTTGCTTACCCTTCTTGCTTGCTTGTGGAAAGGGTTATTGTCCTTAGTATCCCAGTCCCAAATGTCATGCAATCATTGTACAAAAGAAGTTATCCATGTGTTCTGCGAATACAGACAGAAATGGCTGTCTTTTATTAGATTTAGTTGCTTCTGCCACATCCTGCTTCTGTATCTGTATCAGGTATAGCTGGTATAACTGCCCTTCAGCGTAACACACCAGCTTAAAAATTCTTTAAAAAATGCATGAAAATTCTACAGCAACGAAATTGTGACAAAAAGTGCCATTGTGAATCTTAACCAATATCCATAAGAAGATTCTCAATTAGCTAAACATGAGACATATTTCCTTCCTGTACTGACCAGGTGGAGGGACATGAGTTCTCGGTACACCGGGCGATCCTGGCGGCCTGCAGCGACTACTTCCTGGACCTCTTCACTTTCCCCATGGGGGAGAAACTGGACACAGTGGAACTCCCATGTGAGACCAGCTTTTCATTTGCTTGTCAAGTTGTTTGTGATACATATAGTTTCTGTTGCTGTTGTTGATAATTTTAATTTTCATGATTTGTGCTGTTATGGTTATCAGGTATGAAGAAGAACTTTATTGTAACATGACAATTGTAACAGGCAACTTGTACTTACATGTACATGTACTTGGAAGTTGAACTGTTGCTAATACCTAATGATTTTACGAGTATAATCAAATTGTATTAGGAAGAAGATCGTTAGATTCTGTGACTAATTATGATTAAGACTTGAGTCCAGGAGTTATTGTATACTAGTACTTTTGAAATAAGTTTCTGACTGATAACACAAGAATTCACAGTGGACATATAGTTCTGCAAACAGGTCCATATGCATTTTTCCCAGAATGGGAACTCTTGCTACTGCGAACATAAAGTGAATTACAGTATTTGTTTTCTACCAGGTGTGACCCACAAGGGGCTGGCGCCAATTATCGAGTACGCGTACACGGCCAGTCTACCTCTGACCAACGACAACGTGATTGACGTGATCTCTGCCGCCAGCCGTCTGCACATGTGTGACATCATTGATGAGTGTTCTGTCTACCTAAAAGAGAGCTGGCCTGAGCGGGGAAGGTATGTTTGTTTGTTTGTTTGTTTTCAAAACTGGTAAACAGTCCGAACAGGTGATCTCACACAGGGAAGGTCTCTTGATTTTGTGGGTTCTTTAACTCTAGAAGGGTGGCTCTTAAAACAGGACCTACACTTAATGTTCCATACAAGAGGATGTCCCTAACTGAAGCTACAGTCCGTACTCATTTTTGCCTGAGTCAAGTGAGGAATAGTCCTTCCCAAATGCACAACATCTTGGTCTCCTATAGGGATTCGAACCCAGAACCTCTCAGATCACCATATACATGTACCATGCACAGTACCAAGTCTGTTCCAATAATATGGTCTCACATATCTGTTTTGCATTCCATTATGTATGACATGGTATCATACCTGTGTTTCTCCCAGGTCAGCCCACATTCTCTCGGCCATGGCCAACCGGACAAAGCAGAGCCCAACCAGCCAGATGATCCAGAACCAGCATCTGCACATGCTCCTGTCCTCAGATAAAACCAGTCCGACTAGACCAGACAAGACCAGTCCTAACCAGGTGGAGGTCTTGCAGGTCGGTGCTGTTTTTAATTTTCTGTTTTTACTTTTTTTTATTAAAGAGAACATGAAGCAATTGCAAAGAGCATCAGTTTTTGGGTTCTCTGTATCTCATGCAAGTATCTTGTCACATTTTAAGTTCTTTTCCCAAGTAGTTTGTACAATGACACATTCTATAGACCAAGTTTGACGTCAGTTTTATTTTCTCCTGTGTTTGCCCCTTCAGGTTGATAAGCATGGCCAGGTGAGCATCTCCCGTAGCGGCCTCCAAGATAACAGTCCACCTACCCTCCAGACAGGACCGGACACCAGACCACACGGCTTCAGCATCATGGAGGGAGAACCCCGCACCAAGCGGCTCCGCAAAGCCAGGCACCCACTTCCCAGTCATTCCATCCTCCGACAGAGTTTCGGGGCGGCGAATTCCTCCGAGGCATCCGCCATCGCCGCTCCAGAGCAGCCGTCTTCGTCCAGGGACGGGGACAACAGTCTGGAGGACGACACGTCGACAGCTCTTAGTCCCCCCGTTGTCATCAAACAGGAGCCTCCGGATGAGTTTGATCTGACGTCTAGAAGATCTCTCGGCGAGCCTGACAGTCAAGGGGGCAATGACGCTCCAGTTGTGGAAGAGAACGTGGAAAGGCGATATTCCATCCAGTTCGAGTCATTCCATAGCCCGCCGGGTTCGGACGCGGATATGTTTCTCCTGCCTGACAGTAACATGCAGGCTCGGCCGTCGTCGAGCGCTGCCGCGGTCTTCAAGTCCGAGCAGCATGAAACGGTCACGTTACACGAAGACACCGGCGACAACAGCAACTCCAACTCGATGGACAGCTCCGCGCTCGATCTAACGGCCACGCAGCGCGCTCACAGTCCGCACTTCTCCAAAACCGAAGAAGAGTACAACGTTGAAGAGGAGGAAATGGGAGAGGTTTCGAGCACAGAGGTTGACGATGTGGGGCAGCCTATATGGATCCAGAAGCCCCAGGACTGTACGAACTGTGGACGAACATTTGCAGACGACGAGGTCCTCCGTCAGCACTTGGAGAGCTGTAGCCCTGACAAGCCGTTCCGCTGCCCCATCTGTAACTACGCCTTCAAGAAGCCCACGCAGCTCAACGCTCACATGAGGGGCCACTCGGAGCAGGAGAGAATGGCACGCTCCCTCATCAAGTGCAAACTGTGCGACGCTAAGTTCACGTCCCAAGGTTACCTGAGTCGGCACATGAAGTCCCACTCCGCGTTCCGTCCTCATCTGTGTAAGGTTTGCGGCGCGCATTTCTCCGCGAGCGCGAACTTGCTGCTCCACATGCGCATGCACGAGGGCGCAGCCCGTACAAGTGCGACCTTTGCAACGCCCGATACATGCGTCCGGGCGACCTCTCCAAACACGTGCGCTTGTTCCACAAGGAGAAGCCGTTCCAGTGTGCCGCCTGCTCAGAGTCCTTCAGCTACCAAATCTGTCTGGAGATGCACGTGTTACGGTACCACACGCCCATGCACATTCCGGACGAAAGTAGCGAACACGACGAAAACAACTCCACCATTGGAAGCGGCGAAGAGAACGCTAAAGAAGAGACTTAATATCAATCTTCTCCCTCTAAGAAAATTGTCTCTATAAATAATGTATGATCACAAATGATAAATAAAGTCCCCTCTAACAAAAATTGTAAATGAAACTTGCTAAAAATTCCCCTTCCCCCCAAAAATGTATAAAAATTACAATCCTTGGTGATGTACCCTGTATAGTAGCATACATGTATCTGTCGAAATGTTTAAGTTGAATTGATCCTTTCCACACCCTTTGGTGTATATGGCAGTGCCCATCACTGTATAGCCCTTGGGCCACACAGTTTTGCAACCACTGCAACAATGGCTAGTCCACTGTTATATCTGTTCACATACATGTACATTACCTTGTCTACATACTGCTTCCTATAAAATATGGTAGTGCCCTTAGAATAGGCATGTAAATTGTATACTTGCAAAGCTGTCTGTTATTCTGATATTTTTTGCATTTGCACTCAAATCGAACTGACTTGGAGAGAGTGGGGAAACTTGAGAATAGAAGCTATAAGCTAGTTAACTGTCCACTGTATGAATAAGCATCTTTTCTAAATACTCGTACTACTATTTGTATTTCTAATTTAAATCAAAAGGTTCGACATTAAATTTTATATTGTACATGTATGCTTTGCTAGCTTATAGAAAATTCTTAAGAAATTGTATTCTTTTATTTGCAGCCTTGAGATTTAATCTATACGCTATATAGTTTTTACTTTAAAAGTGACCATAATGTACATTCCTTTGTGTTGTATTTGTAAATGTACATAGTATCAAATATACATGTAATCCCATTAAAAATTGTATCTGTAACATGTAACAGATTATAGATTTGGTCACTTACCATCAGAGAGTGGTTTGAAGAAAGAAAAAGTAAAGACAATCTAAACTTAATTGGCTTTTTCCTTAATTTTTTGATATCATTATACACTGTTTGCGTGTTTGTTTGTTTGTTATCAGTTTTTTTTTCCCAATTTGTTCCAACTCCTACCTGGCCTGAAGGAATCTACATGAACTCCCAATACCAAGGCAAGTACTGTCCTTATCATATACACTGTGTTTAAAGCATTTCTGAGTTTTATAATATTATAACAGTGAACCAAACTACATGTGCAGTTCAATGGATACAAAATGATCCAGTGCAATGGAAAGCCACTAGGGGGCCCAAAGTTAATATTCTAAAGCGGTATACTGACCAAAGAAGGTCCAAAACACAGGTCTACACGTCCAAAGCAATAGTCAACCATTGGATTACATTGTCATTTTCTCGCCTTGTAGGTGAAGTAATGGCCCAGTAGCGAGCACAAAGCGCCACCGTGCGAAACCCATGTGAACTGCAGTTTCGCAAACGCCCATGACGTCACAGTCGCTACTCGTACCACAACAACACCCGGTACTTTCCAACGGTTTCGAACGGGCGATCTCTTCCGGGTTTCGGGGTTCTTTTTCGAGGGCGTAGAAAGCGCTGTTTGTGCGAAACCGTGCGGGTTGTACGGACGCGTTCACCAGTGGACGAACATTTTGCGCATCTTGTGGTTGTCTTTCTACCTTGAATTAACAGTCAGAACAGGTAAGTAAGATTTGGGACGGTCTGTTCTAAGGTCTACGTTTGTATCATTCGGCTATTGCGTCATGTATTGGATCTAAATCAGTGAAGGCGAAACTGTGCACGATACTTTTAAAAAATTACTCTTCAACCAAAGATTTGATGTAATCTCCAAGCAGATCCTAGGGTGGCATAAGCCAGTATCAAATTGGCCAGGCAGTATATCCAGTGGCGTATTGGACCCTCTCTGGCCAATGGTTACTGCTTGGCCAATTTTATACTCTCTTATGCATATGCCATCCTAGGATCTGCTTGGAGAATATGCTTCATGTGTTTTAGGAATGTTTGGTAACTTTCTGGCAAATGGATACAGCCTGGCCAATTTGATACTGTATAACAGCCACCAAGGCATCTGCTTGGAGATTACATTTGTACTTAAAACTCTGATATCGGCATCTGTAAGTTCTTACCCAGCAAGTATGTTTTGTGTAGACCTGGAAATGCCTGTACATGAACTTGCATTTGCAAAAGCTATATAGCATTCTTTCAAGTAAACTACATTGTAGTACTATGATTTGCGTGGTAACCTTTGACGTAAGGGTCATACGAAACCAGGTTATAGATCAATAGATGTGTTTTTTTCCGCTTTGTCAATATTTGACCGATTTGTAACCGGTACCGAAACTTTCCCCATATCGATGTTCGAGTATATATATATATATAACTCCAGTTTCTCTCTTTTAACCTCCATTCAACAGGAACAGAAATCAGAAGCAAATGATCAGCCGCAACAGTAATGCGTTGTCAGGACTCCGAACTCCCGACCGTTGCCAGGGCTCATACCAATCAGCCCTTCGGCACAAGGGCCATCATATCCCCGAAGAAAATTTGACTCGGAGCCCATGAAGACCCAAAGCTTCAAGTAAAACGTTGGGCCTAGTTGGACAGGCGTGGTAGAAGATTATAGTGGCATCGAAAACTTCATCCATGCAGCTGTACTCTACACAGAGACAGGATCACAACTATGACTGAATCATACTGTACCCTGTGTCAGGCGCCTTTCTCGAGCGCCCAGGCAGCGAAAGAACATTTCGCCGGAAAGCGTCACTTGAAGAACCTAGAAAAGCTTCGTATGATGCCTCCCTCGACGGAAGCATGGTCCGCAACCACAAGAGGTGCGTTCCAATCCAAAACAACGCAATCTCAACAACAATCTGAAACTCGACAAAACTCAAGTTATTGTGACTTGTGCAAAGCACCCTTTTCAAGTATTGAAGCCGCCAGACAGCACTATGCAGGTAAGAGACACATTCAAGATGGTAGTAAAGCAGCAGATATTTCCAGCAATCGCTAGCAACGTGGCTGGAATGGTGAGAAAAACCACAACAACACAGTCGGCATCACAAGTCGGAGACTCAAGCCAAGAAAAACAACGACCAACAACGTCTGGCCGTGACACTATGGCCGCCGCCAGTACTAGTTTGTTATCAGTAAATGATACTTCATCGTCAAAGCCAAATACCAAAACAGATCCTCAATACAAGAGACTCAATACAAGAGACTTAAAACAAGAAAAACAACGACCAACAACGTCTGGCAGTGACTCCATAGCCACCACTGGTACTAGTTTGTTATCAGCAAATGATACTTCATCGTCAAAGCCAAATACCGAAACAGATCACTTGACACATTCAGAGAAAATTGATCAAACAGCAAACGACCAACAGTCTCCAAGTGCTCACGGGGTCAGCACACATACTGTTGGGGTACGTCATGGAGCTAGAAGTCCATGGGTACGTACAGTCGATTCCAGCAGTTCTGTTCTCTCACAGTCCTTCTCTGAGGAAGATGCTTACTTCTGTAAGACCTGTTCGATGCCTCTGTCGGGTCCGGTACCTGCAAAACAGCACTACTCTGGCCGAACTCACAGGAAAAGGACTCAAACTGCAAGTTGTTCTTCCCAACGTTTGGGTATTTTAGACAAAGGCGGTCAAAGTAACAGTAGGCAAGATCTAGACTTGGAGTCAAGCAGAAAAGAAGTTGAGAAGACAACTTTCTGCGGCGTATGTAATGTCCCCCTGTCCGGACCACAGCCGGCCATGCAGCACTACTCCGGCCGGGCGCACAAACGGAAACTCGAGCTGCTGAGGAAAGGGGAGCTTCCAATGATCCCGTTGCCATGGCAACGCCATTCTACAGGTAAAGCTTCATCTAAAGAAGAAGATTCGGGAGTATCGATGAGCGATGGCTTACAGGAAGAGACAAATAAGCGACGGGAAGAGTCTAAAGAAACAACGTTAAAATCCTCCAACACAACGGAAGAAAAATGTAGCCCATTTTCAAAATCATCTGATATTGGGATGGACCAATCGGAACGCAGATCAGTATCGGGAGGTCAAATGGACCAATCAGAAAGGAGATCAGCATCAAAGGGTCAAATGGACCAATCAGAACGGAGATCATCATCAGTGGGTCAAACGGACCAATCAGTGCGAAGACCAGCATCGGGAGTTCCATTGGACCAATCAAAACAGAGATCAGCATCGATATCAGGAGGTCACATAGACCAATCAGAATGGAGATCGGCTTCACAGGATCAGTCTTCCTCATCGACGTTAACGTCATCATCCTGGTCATCACCGTTTAAGTTTGGGCAAACACGAGCTCCTTCTGAGGTCCCGTTTGTGAGACCAGATTGTCGTCGTTACAGCCGTTCCGTGTCTGCACCTACAGCCGGCCACAAGTCACAACTTCACAGGATGCTGCCTACATCAAGGCTGGCGTGTAACTTCCAAACCCAGATGGCACCTCCAATTACAGGGGAGAGAACGGCCCAACCTGGAACGTTAGGTGCGGGCTTTCAGCCAAAATCATCCAGTTCCACAGTCTGTGAAGAGAAAGATACCCAGTCTGTGGCCGTTCTACCGTTTGTGTCCAGGCAGTGGTCAGTTCCAGTGGTGATGGAGGATACGCCTTGCGAGAAAACGTTTTTGAAGACATCTCCTACACTGAGCAACACAGAAGACCATAAACCCTTCAAAACACATTGTCCTAGCACCAACGATATGCTACGACACAAGGCTATCAGTTTAGAAGATGATACAACGATAGACAACCAACAAAGGCCACAGAAAGGGAACACAATAGTTGATGATTTTAGATCTTCTGTTGGACAGGGTGCAGATGCATCGACTAGTGAGCAAATAGCGAAGAACTGCCAAGAGATGAGGGATGCTCGTGGAAAGATAGAGGATTTTCTCATCAATAGCCGGTCAGATCGAGGTGCACCAAAAGGTTTGCCAAAAGAGCCTCCTAGCGAATGTTCTTCTACAAAAACGACAGAGAGAGAAACACCCCCAACACATGGACCTGCACAGGCTATAACGAACACCACAAGCCCTGAAGAGCCTTTGTTCTTCTGTGATATCTGCAAACTTTCAATGTCTGGGCCAAGACCTCTCTTTGACCATTACAATGGCGCAAAACATAAGAAGAAGTTGAAAATTCTTGCACTTTTAAACCCCGAAAACACAACTGGAACGTCGAATTCCTCCGAAATTCAAAGCAACGGGCCTTTAGCAATGGCTTGTGGCAATTTGCCAACAGCTCCAAGTGATAATATGACTTCTACAGCTAACAAAACACACAATAAGGACTTGGATATTAAGTACACGTCAACAAGTATGTTTTCGTCCATGGCTTTAATGAAGCAAATTTCTGAGCAAATTGCTAGAACTCCAGAAGAGAAAGAAGAATTATTGTCAGATGTAACAGTCATACCATGTTCACAACCAGTGCATTTAAAGTGAAAAATACGTACTGATTTTTTTGTTACTAGCTCTCTATTAATAGCGAAAGCTGGCATCAATGTTAATTGCAATAAACTAAGGCTAATTAATTTCATCTATTTCAAGTGTTGCCATCATCCGATTCCAGAGTAATGCCAATTTTCGTCGTTGCAAATATCTAATAATACGGTGCTAGTTTTTAATAATAGCAATGTCGGTGTCACTATATTATGTATACTGACTGAGAAAGATTAAAATGTGCCATTTTTTCCTTTTGATTCGTCCAGTTCAATTTGGCTTGATGGTGGATTTATTCTATCAACTGTGATAGATTTGCAAATAAGTAAAGACGACATAGTCGCCTGACCCGGAAGTGAATTCTGTGAAGGGTGTTGCCTTATACTGGAACTGAACAAGTACCCTAGCAAGTCACAGGTCATGGACGATTCAGAAAGGCTACTAACGCAGCACACCTATTAAACTACATTGTATCAGTGTTGACGCCCAAGTCACTGTCTGCCACGTCTTGTCTGCCGTATATACTCTTCACAGACAGTGATTCAACTATAAGAGACGACGTCGTTGACATTTTTTTGACGTGAACGAATTTAAGGTACGTGAGGATGTTGCATGTTGTTTATATTTGTATAGTACAGTACTAGATACTAGTGCACTGTGGACATACAACCCAGACGATTCGTACCAAATGCTAGACAAGGTCACACAGACAAGAATTTGAAGAAAGAACATGTCTTTTTTTTGTACAGTAGACAACAGGAATCTTGAAAACTTCGTGACCAGTTTGGTTGGGCCAACTAGTCTAGAATCTACATGTTCAAAATTGGGTACAAAGTTATGAAAACGAAAAATATGACCTTGAAACGTGAACAGATCTCAGTGATAACCACTGTCAGGAGGCCGCCATGTTAAATTATTCCCAATTTCGTACCCAGGAAAACATGGAGGTCTTGACGTTACTTGAGATCACGGCTGTTCTGTGGGTGACGTATTTGGCGGTGACTTGGTGGTTGGAGAGAGGCCGTCTGTCACAGGTTAGTAACAACGTCAACAGAGCGACACACTTTGTTTTTAACACTAATTTACGGTGTTTACTAATCTTCAAGCAGATCTTTTGGTGGGGGTAAGACAGTATTAAATTGGACAGTCTGTATCCATTTCCCACTTCGATACAGACTGGCCAATTTGATACTGTCTTAGCTCCACCAAAAGATCTGCTTGGAGATTAGGTGTTTACCACAATTTGGCACCAGCAGGCTTAGTGGGTGTGACCTCCAGGGTGAATTGATGTCCCTGCCCTCGGGAGAGACACTTTTGGCACGTGTGCAAGGTCGAACAACTAGGCCTGGCTGGCCTTGTCCTGGATCTACTTTTTAGAACACGATCTAGGATTAGCACAAATGTACTACTTGTTTACCCTTGCAGAAAAGGTGAATTGTCATACAACCATTTGGCTACTGTTGTAGATGTCTGTGACGTAGAAAAATTAAGATTGTTCACTGAAGAATTGTCCGACAACCTTTTAAATATTTTTGGTCCGTGTAGCTGACCGACAAGACCGTCCTCATCACGGGGTGTGACACCGGCTTCGGGAACCTCCTGGCCCGGCGGCTGGACCAGCTCGGCCTGCGGGTGTTCGCGGGCTGTCTGACCGAGGCCGGCGTGGCGGAGTTACGGCAGGACTGCTCCGAACGGCTGCAGCCGATCCAGATGGACGTCACCAAAACGGACAGCGTGCAGGATGCCTTCAGATTGGTGAAGCAAGCTGTGGGGAGTAAAGGTTTGAGCAAGAAGGTTTAATTTTGGGCCCTCTGCTATTCAAGTCAAAAGGATGTACTACATCAAAGACAAGTATAGTGCTCTCCAAGCAGAGGATGGTGGGGAAGTTTGTGGTCTTTCTTTCTATTCCCCTTTTTTGTCTCTATAAAGGTTACAAACTTCCCCACCTACCTCTACTTGGAGAGAAAAGTATACAGCCTACATACTTCCAAGTATACAGCCACTGAAAATAATTTGTTTGTAACGTTCCTTGTAAGTAAATAATACTGTTCCTGAAATGATTTTCTTCTCAACTTAAGGTAATGATGAGCTATGTGAACTTCCTAGGTCTGTGGGGGCTGGTGAATAATGCAGGTATTCTCGGTCTTGCAGCATCACCAGTGGAATGGGCAACCCTGGACGATTATCAGGTAAGGCTCAGGTCAAGGCTAATATTAGTACTAATAGTCATAGGAGCTATCATAAAAGCTCATCTGTGTTGGTAGTTGTACATGTTTAGAGTTAAAACTTTAGATCCAACACAAAAAGTTCTCTCACCTAGAGCTTTCGACCAGTCACTCTGGTCTTCCTCAGTAGACTGACCCAGTGAGGCGTGTTCACTTAATTAACCGCGACGGGGGCCGATATCGTCTACCAAATACCTTTGACCCAGTGTTGACGTCACACTTCAAAGAAGCCACGTGACAAGCCTCACTGGGTCAGTCTACTGAGGAAGACCAGAGTGACTGGTCGAAAGCTCTTGGTGAGAGAACTTCTTTGTGTTGGATCTAAAGTTTTAACTCTAAACATTAGTAGGAACTTTTGTCTACATATTTAAACGACTGTGACTCACACAAGACAAGAATACATACTTTGTAGTTCTTTCCCTTCATCATTGCTGTGCGCTTTTCCCCCAAAATCAGGCCGTCCTGAACGTGAACTTGCTGGGGATGATTGACGTCATCAAGACATTTCTCCCGCTCCTCAAGAAGTCACGTGGTCGGATCGTCAACGTCGCAAGTGGTGCCGGGAGAGTGGCCATGCCACATGGCGCGCCTTACTCCGTGTCTAAATATGGTGTGGAGGCGTTTTCTGACTCTCTCAGGTGAAAAAAAGTAGATTTTCACACATTTCCTGAACTATCAGTATCAGTTCTGAAACGATCTTATGATTGTATTGTGTCCACAAACAAAGGTTTGAAAGGGAGAAGGCAAAGAAACGCTTCTCAGAAATGAAGCTTATTGCTACATTCTTAGAAAATAAAGTTTCCCTTAGTGAAGGTTAGACATCCAGGTAATAAGATACGCAAACAGTTACTCAAGCAACTGGATATGATATTCCAAAATCATGTCCAGTTGCTTGAGTAACTGTTTTTTTTTACGCAAACCTTCCTGTGGTGACAAAATACTATAGTCGACGGGTATATCATACCGTTTTTTCAACCTTATATGCATGCCTAGACGAGGTATGAGATGCTTTGGCATCAAAGTCCACATCATCGAGCCTGGTTTCTTCCGGACCCCAATCAACAACCAGGAGAACCTCCTGCGCCGCCTGGACCAGACCTGGCAGCGGCAGAGTCCGGAGACAAAGACTGAGTACGGAGAGGAGTTCTTACAAGCCGGTATGTTATCCAGACACGGTACTACATGTTTTCTTACACTGTTATACAACACAAGATAATACATTTGTAGTGCATTATGTCCATCGGTCTTCATCAAGAATGAATGACCAACTGTTCTGGCGCGCACTGATCTTCGGGATGTGTGACGTCAGGTGTAGGTCAAAGGTGGCCTGAAGCCGATACCGGCCGCCAACCATGGGTTTATAACTGAAACTGATGTAAACCTGCATGCTCTGAGGTGATTGTCGCGCATCTTCTGCTTGCATGTTCTCAGCTAGAGCTTTCAGCCACTCTGGGCTTCTTCAATAGACTGACCCAGTGAGACTTGTCACGTGACTTATCTGAAGCGTGACGTCAACACTGGGTCAAAGGTATCTGGTAACAGATAATTTTATTTTGGCATTTGGATACATTTAAAAGACGGAATTGGACTTTATAAAAGTAAATGCGTTTTTTCTTGACAGCAAAGGACAGTATAGTGGCTGCAGATCGTTTCATGCAAGATGCAGTTGCCGTTGTGGACGCGATGGAGCATGCGCTGTGCGCTACCCACCCCCGGAGCCGTTACGTGGTTGGTTGGGACGTCCGTTTCTTGTTTATGCCGGTTTCCTGGCTGCCAACAGACCTGGGCGATCTGGCCTTACGGCTGGTGGCACCGGAAATGACGCCTACACCGGCCTCCTGTAAGGCTGGACAGTAGTGTGCAAAAGGAGACATGTAACTTTGCCTACTACCCAGAACGTACTAGTGATTAGTCTTGAAGTACATACAGTTAGAACTGGATAGAGCTCAAGTTGAAGTTAGTTTACATTGTTAAAATGTATATCTATTGTACCAAATAAGAGTCAGGGGTTGTGGTACATGAAAATATCAATAAATATCTATCAATAAAGTTTAGATTACATTGAGAGGGTGTCGGCGAGAAGGTCAGCGCACTACACTAGCTGACAGAATTGAAATGTGTTTATAGACTCATCTTTTGAATTGAGGTGCTAAAAAGTGTCTTTATTTTGTCGTATTTAAAGGATCCAGTTTGACGTATATATGCGTTTTTTTAAGGTAGTTTGCGTCTTTAAGGTTTTCTTTGTCAATTTTTATACACTGATAAACAGTCTATATGGAGCATTCCAAATTGCCAGACATTGAATAGAAACAACTGAATACACAGGCGATCGTGATTTTGTTTCTCCACAGACGGTGGTGGTGATTAAAGTATATATTCAATAAATTCTATGTTGAACGTAACGGGTTGCTGTTCTTGTCGCATTGGTTAAGATCAATCCAACCAACTCAATCCAACAGCCACCTGACGTTAGATGACTTTGAGTTGGCAACCTGCATGCACATGTACACTAATGTTGGGCACCGACTGTGATAGAACTTTAGCCTGGTACCATCCGGATTTTCGCTCCGCACGCAACGCTCGAAAAAAAATCACTCTAATTTTTTCGAGCGTTGCGGAGCGAAAGTCCGGATGGTACCCAGGCTAATAGAACTTCCAAGAACTGAACAATCTGGCTGTCAATTGTGACACTATGTAATTCATACTGAGAAAACGCATCATTTTCTTCTGCTTGGCATGTGTTTAAATTTTAGCTTCAATACTCGGCATCAACTGTAAAGAAATACAAAGAACTGAACAATCTGGCTGTCAATTGTGACACTATGTAATTCATACTGAGCAAACGCAGCATTTCTTTTTCTTGACATGTGTTTAGCTTTAGCAATAATGTTGCGCATTGACTGTGATAGAACTAAACTGAACACGACATGTTCACCTGACCCGGAACTGAACCCTGCAAAGGTGTAACCTTACGTAATAAGTACCCTGGCATGAGGCAGTTTAAGGCAGACTATCGCAGGTGGTACATATTAACCAATCGGTGCTGAATTGCAACGTCGAATTCCTCCGAAGTTCAAAGCAACGGGCCTTTTGTTGGCAAATTGCCACAAGCCATTGGTAAAAGCAAAGGCTTGTGGCAATTTGCCAACATCCGTAGATACGTGTACCAAGTACACGTCAACAAGTATGTTTTCGTCGATGGCTTTTATAAAGCAACTTTCCGATCACAATGCTAGAACTCCAGAAGAGAAAGAGAAATTATTTTCAGATATGTGACAGTAATACCATGTTCACAACCAGTGTATTTCAAGTGAAAAATAAGTACTGACGTTTGTTTCTAGCTCTCAATTAACAACGAAACCTGGCATCAATGTTAATTGCAATAAACTAAGGCTAATAAAGTAATTTGATCTATTTCAAGTGCTGCCCTTCGGATCCGATTCCAGACTAATGTTATTTTCGTCGATGCAACTATCTAATGATACGTTTGTGATAATGTTGTCAATTGTGACACTATATAATGTATACTGACTGAGAAAGATTACGATGTGGCATTTCTTCTCGTTTTGATGCATCTAATTCAATTAATTAGGTCTGGGTGGTGAATTTATACTATCAACTGTGATAGATTTACAATACAAAGAACTAATGGGTACATGTTCACTTGACCCGGAAGTGAATTCTGTAAAGGCTGTTGCCTTATACTGGAACTGAACAAGTACCCTAGCACTTCACAGTTCACCAACGTTTCAGGAAGACTACTAGCGCAGCACACCTATTAAACGGACAGTGTCGACGTCCAAGTCGCTCTGCCATGTCTACAGTATCATTGTTAACCTCTTCACTGACGGTGATTCAACAATAAGAGAGGACGTCTTCAACATTTTTTGGACGTGAACGAATTTACGGTACGTGATGATGTTCCATGTTGTTTATATTTGTACAGTATAGTACTAGTGCACTGTGGACATACATGTACAACTCAGACGATTTGTAGAGAATGCTAAGACAAGAAAGAACATGGCTTTTCTGTACAGTACACAACAGGAATCTTGGAAATTACGTCACTGACCAGTTTCTGTATCTGTATCTGTATAGCCGGTATAACCGCCTTTCGGCGTAACACACCAGATTCGCAGGCACGCGGCGCGGCGGCAGCTGGCTATATTACACCGATCGACTTGTTACACCTAACCCTTGAACTTCTAGCTCTAGACATTGTTTAAAGCTATCTATTGACAATGCCCCTACTGTACTCGGTGACAATGAGTTCCACTCTGCGATAGTTCTAGGAAAGAATGAAGAATGTTTGATTTGGCTAACTACTCGAGAATCTATATGTTTCAAAATGGGGTTCAAAGTGATCAAAACAAAGAAATATGACCTTGAAACGTTAACAGATCTCAGTTATAACTGCTGTAAGTAGGAGGCCGCCATGTTTTAATCCCCCCCCCCCGACCCCCATCTTGTTCCCAGGAAAATATGGAGGTGTTGACGTTACTTGAGATCACGGCTGTTCTGTGGGTGACGTATTTGGTGGTGACTTGGTGGCTGGAGAGAGGACGTCTGTCACAGGTTAGTTACAACGTTAATAGAGCGATTCACTTTGTTCTTATGACTTATATACGCTATCTACCACAATACAATTTGGCACCAGCTTGCTTATTGGGTGTGATCTTGACCTCTAGGGTGAACTGATGTTTCTGTCCTCGGGAGAGACACTTCTGGCAAGTGTATAAGGTCAAATAACTTGACCTTGGTCTCGTGTTAACACGATATAGAGTTAACACGTTAAGGGAGGAAGTAAATGTACTACTTGTTTATTCCTGCAGAAACTTTGAGAGGTCGATTGGCATTGTTATGCAACTACATGCATTTGGCTATTGTTTCAGATATCTATGACTTAGCTGTGACGTGATTTCATCACATATAGATACTAGAATACTGTGTTCGTATAAAACCAGCTGTATACAATTCAAATTACATGTAGCTTGGATGCCAGACCCACAGCACATTAGTCCCAAAAGTTGTGCCTCGCACACTAGATAACTTTGGCCTAGTGTGCTATGGGTCTGGCATCCAGGCCAAATACAAATGTCTCAAACCAATAATGGGAAACGGATATATCTATAAACTAGGGGGAAATTACTATTCATACATTGGAGAAGCGTCTGACAAATTCTGTTGGTCCGTGTAGCTGACCGACAAGACCGTCCTGATCACGGGGTGTGACACCGGCTTCGGGAACCTCCTGGCCCGGCGGCTGGACCAGCTCGGCCTGCGGGTGTTCGCGGGCTGTCTGACCGAGGCCGGCGTGGCGGAGTTACGGCAGGCCTGCTCCGAACGGCTGCAGCCGATCCAGATGGACGTCACCAAAACGGACAGCGTACAGGATGCCTTCAGATTGGTGGAGCAAGCTGTGGGGAGTAAAGGTTTAAGCAAGACCTGTACTGAAATGATTTTCTTCGAATTCTAAACTAAAGACACTTAGTAACTAAAAAGGCTACATTTGCAAAGTGAAAGAGCCTTCACATTATCTAGAGGAACAAACTACCGATCTGTTTATTCTTACTCATTAATCTACTTACTCAAACACATTCAAATGATGACCAACCTCTGTCTTGCAATTTGCAACAAAATGTTACCCAACACCACAACGTGTCTGCTACAGCACCAGTCACCATGGTGACAGACGTCTGGTCCAGGTCATTGACCTTAGTTGTTAGAAACAGAAGAAGAAACAGGGCAAAATAATATGTTTTCTTCTGCGAAGATTAACAAAATAATAATCGTAAGCTATGTGATTTTCCCAGGTTTGTGGGGGCTGGTGAACAACGCAGGTATTCTGGGTGTTATGGGAGGAACTATGGAATGGGCTACCCTGGAAGATTATCAGGTTTGTTTCCAAGAACTGTGAGCATTTGTTACCTAACCTTGTTACACCAACCTGGGACTCCTTTTTTTAAAGACAAAAATACATACTCTGTTGCTCCATGATGTTATTTTTCTTTTGTGCTTTTCGCACCATCAGGCCGTCCTGAGCGTGAACTTGCTGGGGATGATTGACGTCACCAAGACATTTCTCCCGCTTATCAAGAAATCACGTGGCCGGATCGTCAACGTCGCAAGTGGTGTTGGGAGACTGGCCATGCCACAAGGCGCACCTTACACCGTGTCTAAATATGGCGTGGAGGCGTTTTCTGACTGCCTGAGGTAAGTTTAGCTTTAAACCCATTTCCAAAGTTTCAGAACAAGCTGATAGGGTGACAAGCCCACACCAATTATTCCTGTCACCAAAAATCAAGATCGTAGCATATCTTGAACAAAAGATTTAAAAAAACGGACGTTCTGCTGTAGTGCTAAGGTCATCCGACAGAAGGCCTACATTTGACTTTGACCTTCGTCTTCCCAAGACCTACCCACATACCAAATATCACTTTCACATCAAATATCAAGACTTTCTTAAGTTACTAGTATGCTGACCAGAAATTGACTACGATTTATTCAGCCTGCAAAAAGAGTCTGGTGGAGACTAGAGACACAAACAGACCAAACACAATACTTCTGCTTTTCATGGAGGTAATAATTTACTTTTTGGTACATTTTGCTGAGCCAATTTTTTTAATCTCTGCTAATAAAACATGAGGTTGCTATCTTGTACACATGTGTAGACGGGCTATGAGATGCTTTGGCATCAAAGTCCACATCATCGAGCCTGGGTTCTTCCGGACCCCAATCAACAACCAGGAGAACCTCCTGCGTCGCCTAGACCAGACCTGGCAGCGGCAGAGTCCGGAGACCAAGACTGAGTACGGAGAGGAGTTCCTACAAGCCGGTCAGTTATAGTCGAACACCAATACATTATAATTATTTCCTCTTTATTTTTTGTTTTACTGTTGTACCCACCAGAAGGCCCATTTTCGAACTTGACATTCGTTTTCGTTAACCCTAACCACCCACTAATTTTGAACTTAACTGTTAGTAGTATTTCGTGTTTTCTTACTGCAGCTTTTATACAACACAAAGGAAAAGACACATCGTGTCTTTAGCCATTTTTGCAGGACTTTTACTGTCTTAACGCGCAATGATCTTCGAGATGTGTGACGTCAAGTGTGAGTCAAAGCTAACCGGTTTTAACGTGCAATGTTTCGTTTTGTTTTGTTTTGTTTTGTTTTGTTTGTAACAGCGAAGGACGGTATAGTGGCTTCAGAACGTTTCATGGAAGATCCGGTTCTCGTTGTGGACGCGATGGATCACGCGCTCTGCGCTACCCACCCCCGGAGCCGTTACGTGGTTGGTTGGGACGTCCGTTTCATGTTTATGCCGATCTCCTGGCTGCCAACAGACCTGGGCGATCTGGCCTTACGGCTTGTGGAACCGGAAACCGCACTTACGCCGGTCTGTTGTAAAGATGGAAAATAGTTACACAGTAACTTTAGCATACAGTCAGAAGTAGGATATGGTTTTGAAAGTTCATCTGTGTTGGTAGTTACATGTTTAGAGTTAAAACTTTTGGTCCAACACAAAAGAGTTCTCTCACTTAGAGCTTTCGACCAGTCACTCTGGTCTTCCACAAGTAGACTGACCCAGTGGAGCTTGTCACGTGGCTTCTTTGAAGTGTGACGTATATGGCCTCCTTCACCCCTCTCAAGAAACAGTCTTGTTCTGGTTTTGAAACAAGTTTACATCGTCAAAATCTTTATCATGTACATCACATAAGGTCGACAGAGAGACTGTGAGACGACATTCAATGGATTTCACATTAGTTTGCTGAGATCTGGTGTTCTCCAAAGTGTCTGTGACAACTTATTATACACTAGTATAGCAAGTAGTCTATCTGAAGCATTTTAACAGTACAAGGAGGGTAATTCGACATGTGCGACGACAGAAAACATAAAAACGCAAGCGATCGCGATTTTGTTTCTCCAAAGAAGGTACCCAAGATGGTGATTTAAATGTCAATAAAGTCAATGTTTAGCGTTTAGGGTTGCTGTACTTTTCCTACCTTCGTATCCATTGGTTAAGATTAATCCAAACAACTCAGTGCAATCAGACGTTAGATGACTTTGAGTTGGCAACCTGCATATGTACTGTACACTAATGTTGGGCACCGACTGTGATAGATCTTCCAAGAACTGAACAATTTAGCTGTCAATTGTGACACTATGTAATTCATACTGAGAAAATGCAGCATTTTTTTCTCCTTGACATGTACATATGTTTAACTTTAGCAACAATGTTGGGCAACAACTGTGATAGATCTTCCGAGAACTGAACAATCTGGCTGTCAATTGTGACATTATGTAATTCATGCTGAGAAAATGCATCATTTCTTCTCCTTGATATATGTTTAACTTTAGCAACAATGCTGGGCATTGAACATGATAGATCTACAAAGAACTGAACAATCTGACTGTCAATTGTGACACTATGTAATTCATACAGAGCAAATGCGGCATTTCTTCTCTTTGACACGTGTTTAACTTTAGCAACAATGCTGGGCATTGACTGTGATAAATCTACCAAGAACTGAACACGACATGTTCACCTGACCCGGAACTGAACCCTGCAAAGGTGTAACCTTACGTAATAAGTACCCTGGCATGAGGCGGTTTAAGGCAGACTATCGCAGGTGGTACATATTAACCTGTAGGTGGTGAAAGCCAAGTCTCTGTCTTCCACGTCCGCAGTATAAATTCTTCACAGACAGTGAGACAAAACGGTCAGAGACAACGTCGAAATTCTCTTTCCGTGGACGAATTGAAGGTGAGTTGCATACTGTTACCTTTGTAATCTTTTTATACGTTCCTTTTCAATTGTAATACATGTATGTATGTATATATGAATGCAATGTCTAGACCACAGGAAGAATAGCCTCTAATGAGGCTAATTGTGAATCTAGATAAAACTCAAACTCAAGTATATAAAAAGTGTTTATATTTATACACATTATAGTGCACTGTTGATATGAAGGTCAAAACGTTCTAATTGCAAGACAAGGTTACCAGACAAAGAAAAGAACAGTTGACAACAGAATTCTTGATAACAAGTCAAGCGTAGAAACTTCGTGATATCCAGTTCGTTTGGGTAGTAACTTAATCGTTACTGCATGCGAATTTACATGTTAAAAAATGGGATTCAATGTTATCAAAGCATGCAGAATATGATCTTGAAAGAATCTATAACGACTATAAGTAGGCAGGGGGTCGCCATATTTTAATTCTCAACAATCTCTTACCCAGGAAAATATGGAGGTCTTGACGTTACTTGAGATCGTGGCTGTTCTGTGGGTGACGTATTTGGTGGTGACTTGGTGGTTGGAGAGAGGACGTCTGTCACAGGTTAGTACAACAAATCTTTGTTCCCTTCACTAAAATATTTGTTGTTTGCTACCATTTTTGGCACCAAATATGGCTTCTTGGGTGTGAACCAATTTTATGCCCTCTGGGCAAATATGCAAGGTTAACAGCTATGCCCTGGGTTGCCTGGTGTCCAAATGTGACAGGTCTGAATGTAGTTTATCATTTCAGAAAAGGTCCATTGACATACAGCCATTTGTCATTTCTCTATGACTTTATTATTTGACGGATAAAATCGATGTTTCCCCACTTTACACACCTAAGTAATACAGACAAATTCACATTTTAATGAACTTAGACAAACCCCCGATCCTTAAACTTGTTGTATCTTTTCAACATCACAGAGAAGCGAAGAGAAGTCGAAATTATGTAATAGACTGTAGTGCTAGTACTAGATTGATCTTGTTGTGTATATATTTGTGTATTCAAGTTAACCTTTGTACCTAACCCAGTGGGTATGTTTGTACAATAAAGGTCTTCATTCATTCATTATTTAGGGTGATTTAGCCATACATAGATGGCTAAATCCATGTGAAACCTGTTACATGTATATGCACTTCAAAATGTGGGGTCGTGTGGCGCAGTCGGTAGCGCGTTCGTGCTCACACGGGTTCGTGGGTTCGAATCCTGCCCATGTCACCGATCCTGTGCCCTTGTGCCACTTTACACGACTTTCCTCACTTCACTCAGGTGGAAATGAGTACCTAGCTTCGGTTAGGGACGTCCCGTTAAATAGAGGTCCCGTGTTTGGGGAGACCCACACCCCACGCGCGTTAAAGAACCCACCGCACTTATCGAAAAGATAAATGCGGAACCACTCACACCACTTCCCGGTGGTGTAAGGCAATGACATCACCGTACTACAGTCCGGTCTTACGCAGCTTGTACATATACGTACATGTCAGTACAGTCCGGTCTTACGCAGCTTGTACATATACGTACATGTCAGTACAGTCCGGTCTTACGCAGCTTGTACATATGCGTAAATGTACGGTGTGTTACGCCTAAAGGCGGTTTACCGCTTATGCGAAACAAACAAACAAAATATATGTTCCAAAATAGCCATCTATATTGAAAATTAAGATAGTGTCTAGCCCTTGTCCAGGTGACTATTCCGTGCATTGGATTCTAGTGTCTCAGTCTCTTTCTTGTCCGTGTAGCTGACCGACAAGACCGTCCTCATCACGGGGTGTGACACCGGCTTTGGGAACCTCCTGGCCCGGCGGCTGGACCAGCTCGGCCTGCGGGTGTTCGCGGGCTGTCTGACCGAGGCCGGCGTGGCGGAGTTACGGCAGGACTGCTCCGAACGGCTGCAGCCGATCCAGATGGACGTCACCAAAACGGACAGCGTACAGGATGCCTTCAGGGTGGTGAAGCAAGCTGTGGGGAGTAAAGGTAAAACCGTTCAACTTCGAATCCTTCGCTAAACACATCTCTCACACTCTCTCTCCCTTTCTCTCTCTCTCTCTCTCTCTCTCTCTCTCACACACACACACACACACACACACACTCTTGCTATCTATCTCTAGTTCTGTAATACTACTATATAGACCTGATCTATAGTGCTAGTTCTGTAATATAGATATATATCATATTGCTCTTACCTATTTTTAGATAAAAGTGGAAACCACTGAAGAATTTGGCCTGTGTGTATCGTGTCAGTTTCCTGTCCTGTAAGTAGAATTACTGTTCCTGTTTTCCTCCAAAGTTTTGTGTATTTCCCAGGTTTGTGGGGGCTGGTCAACAACGCGGGTATTCTGGGTGTTATCACTGGAACTATGGAATGGGCCACCCTGGAAGATTATCAGGTTTGTATCCAAGAATTATAGACGCCTTTGTCGTCTTTGTTACGTATATATTGAACTGCTGTGACTAGAAAAAAACAGAATACAGGTTGTGACGTACTTTGATTTCATCTTTCTCTTTCATTTGTGCGTTTCCCACAATCAGGCCGTCCTGAACGTGAACTTGCTGGGGATGATTGACGTCACCAAGACATTTCTCCCGCTTCTCAAGAAGTCACGTGGCCGGATCGTCAACGTCGCAAGTGGTGCCGGGAGAATAGCCTTGCCGAATGCGTATGGCGGACCTTACGCTGTGTCTAAATATGGCGCGGAGGCGTTTTCCGACTCTCTGAGGTAAAAACTAGCTTTTCACACATTTTCTTGACTCTCATATCAGTTTTAAGCCGATTTTAGGACTATGTCATGTCCACCAAAGCTTGAATGAAGAAGCTTCTTAAAAATGAGTCGTTTTGCCAAAGAAAGTTCTGAATCGATTGTACCTTGCCCACAAAGTTTCAAAGGCAAAGGAACGCTTCTCAGAAATGATTTTTTGTACATTCTGAGAAAATAAAGTTTCCTTTTAAATTTAGTACATCTGGTAACAAAATACTACCTCCAACTGTTAATACTATTTACAACAGTGTATACTTGCCTATATAGACGGGCTATGAGATGCTTTGGCATCAAAGTCCACATCATCGAGCCTGGGTTCTTCCGGACCCCAATCAACAGCCAGGAGAACCTCCTGCGGCGCCTGGACCAGACCTGGCAGCGGCAGAGTCTGGAGACCAAGACTGAGTACGGAGAAGGGTTCCTACAAGCCAGTAAGTTATAGTCAAACACCTTTTCTTTTGCTTTCCTTTTTTGATTTACAGCATTTACTGTTGTGCCTGCCAAGAGACCCATTTTTGAACTTGAACTTCGATTTCATTAACTCTACCCGCCTACTAATTTTTTTCACGATCAATTCAAAGCATTTTGAGTTATCTTGCTAACAAAAAAAAAATACAACAAGCAAACAACAAACCCCAAAGGTCCGCTGTGGTGACCCAGGGACCTCCGACAAGGCCTATTTTTGAACTTGACCATCATCTCCCAAACAGTAACTTGCCTATGAAAAATCATAAACATCCATTCATGCCTTTAAGGGGTATGCCGCATAAAGCCCCAGTTACCACACCATACTTAAACCGATTGCTGAACCTTCCAGCGAAGGTAAAAGTACAAATTAACAGATGATCTTCTTTTCTACGTGGAAAATGGGACTACCTACAAGGAAATCTATACGAATGTTTTGTGTTTTTTTTATTAACAGCAAAAGACGCCATAGTGGCTGCAGATCGTTCCATGCAAGATCCAGTTGCCGTTCTGGACGCACTGGAGCACGCGCTGTGCGCTACCCACCCCCGGAGCCGTTACGTGGTTGGTTGGGACGCCCGTTACGTGTTTATGCCGATTTCCTGGCTGCCAACAGACCTGGGCGATCTGGCCTTACGGCTGGTGGCACCGGAAATAACGCCTACACCGGCTTGTTGTAAGGGTGGACATTAGCATACCCTGGAAGCCAAACTCGTTTCGGGCCGACAGCCGTTCCCTTCGGCAGCCAAGAGCCCTTCGCCCGCCTGTCTAAATTACCGCTAGCCCAGGGTGAGTTTGGCTGGCAGGGCCGTATGATACTTAGTACTCCCCACGGGCTCAACTCCACCGCAGCGGTAATTTAGATCGGCGGGCGAAGGGCTTCTGGCTGCCGAAGGAAACGTTTAGTGGCCCGTAAACTTGTCTGGCACCCAGGGTAACATCAGCATAGTGCAGTGTAAAACTTTTGGCGAATATTTAAACAATACACGCAACAGAAAGTTTGCTACTTTGGGTAAATTTCGAATCGCCCTGTCTCTCCATCATACCGGTAAAGATCTTGTCTTGGAGTTCTCTTTTCACGTGACTTGATGTGGATTATCACGTGACAACAGACCGTCATGGCTTGAGGTAGTGACAATGTAAACTTCATTCCAACACAGAGATAAAATTTTAACGACCACTATCGCCTTCATCAGGATAATTAATGACCAGTCACTTCCGAACGTAAACTCGCGAGAATTACGGTTACAGACACGTGACCTTATTCACACAAGCCTTTTAATACATGGCATCAGCAATTGATCAAACGTGCCAGGGAGTTTACATCGCCCGCCGTCTCTACTAGACAGTAGTGTGCAGAGTTAGAAATGCAAATTTGCCTATATATACCTCACAAAACTGCTTTCTCTTGGGATGATGCGTTTAAAACTAACTGGATAGAGCTTTGAAATTAGTTTATATCGTTAAAATCTATATCTAACGTATCATGTAAGGGTCGACAGAGGCTATGGCGCGTGAAAATAAAAATAATCGATAAAGTTCACATTACTTTGGTGGCGTGGAGGAGCATGGTTGGGTACGTACGTGTACTAGCTGACGGAAATTGGACTCCGCTCCTGTGTCGTTGCCAAAAGTACATGGTACATGTCTAGATCTAGATAAACATATTTTGTTTTAATAGGAGTTATGGTATGGCTGAAAACTGCTACCTTATGTTATGTTATGTGTGTAACGTTTTCTTTGTTAACTTTTATACTCGTTAACTTTTTATACACTTAAAGGTATACAATCATCAATAAAGTTTATGCTGAACGCCAAGTATTGTAATATCTTCCTCCTCTTGTCTCTATTGATGAAGATATGTTGTTTGTTTACTTGTTTGTTTTGCTTTGTGTTGGCAACCTATATGCACGTAATTGATGTAAGCGTCGTATTAACGTCATGGGACATTGTGTGCATGAATGACGTCACGATCAAATACTGTAATTCCATTTAATATTGCGGTTGGAAATTATAGCGGTGGGAGGAAAATGGACTAGCTCACGGCACTTAATTTTAGCGGTGTGGACAAGGCAGATGATCAAAGTGCTCAAATACAATGTATTAAGGTACTGAAATTTTAGCGGTAAAAAAGTAACAGCTAAATCAGCTATGATTAAGTGACAGTTAACAAATCAAAAGTATATATGATATGAATGAATGAATGAATGAATGAATGAATTCGAAACTGTAAGCGAAAGGCTCTGTAAGTATTGTACAGAGGGAGCAGTGGAAGATGAAATTCATTTTATCTGTCAGTGTCCTCATTACGATTTTGAAAGAAAAAGTTATTCAAGGAAGTCGCCAACATTTCCCCAAATTTTGAATATCTCAGCAAACAACAACAGACTATATTACTGCTAAAGTCTCCCAACCCATTTATTTTTCAAAGAGTCGGACAATTCATCTCCCACTGCATCCTGAGAAGAAGCCAACCCCCCTAATAGCAAGAATAGTTTAATAGAATAGATTAGAATAGCACTTACCTTGTTCCTCTTACCTGTTTATGTACTAGTATTGCTTATCCACTGTTTATCCTGGGTACCAAAGTTATTAGATTTAAGTAGAGATAGTAGGTTTAATATGTATATCGTACAAGTAGAACTTCATGTAAGCATATAGTTTTATAGCACCACATTTGTCAATGTCTGTTTGCAATTAGCCCTCGGGCAAGAACTTGCAATAAACAACTCATTATAATCAGGCATAACACATGTAACCTATGAGATCTTATAATCAGGCGCACCAACTTGAAATCTATGAGGCCTTGTAATCAGGCTAAGAACATGTCACCTATGAGATCATGTCATCAGGCATAGATCATGTAGCCTATGAGCACATGCAGCCTATGAGGTCCTGTCATCAGGCATGAAACATGCAGCCTATGAGGTCTTGTCATCAGGCATAAAACATGCAGCCTTTGAGGTCTTGTCTTCTCATCAAGCGTAAATCATGCAACCTATGAGATCTTGTCTTGCCATCAGGCATAAATCACGCAGCCTATGAGGTCTTGTCTTCTCATCAGGCATAAAACACGCAGCCTGTGAGATCTTGTCTTCTCATCAGGCATAAAACACGCAGCCTATGAGATCTTTGCTTGTCATCAGGCATACAACATGCAGGCTATGAGGCCTTCCTTGACCATCTTACGGTCTCACAGCTTTGCCTAACTCTGTGACCACCTTAACGGTCTCGCTTAAGTTCTGCCTAACTCTGTGACCGCCCCAACGGTGTCGCTAAAGTTTTGCCTAACTGTGACCCACAACCCACAAGTTAGACCCACAACTTTAGCGACACCGTTGGGGCGTGGGGCTGTCACAGAGTTAGGCAAAACTTTAGCGACACCGTTTGGGCTGTCACAGAGTTAGGCAGAACTTAAGCGAGACCGTTAAGGCGGTCATAGAGTTAGGCAAAACTTTAGGGACACCGTTGGGGCGGTCACAGAGTTAGGCAAAACTTTAGGGAGACCGTTAAGGTGGTCACAGAGTTAGGCAAAACTATAGGGACACCGTTTGGGCGGTCACAGACTTAGGCAAAGCTGTGCGACCGTAGGATGGTCGAGAAAGGCCTCATAGCCTGCATGATTTATGCCTGATGAGAAGACAGGACCTCATAGGCTGCGTGTTTTATGCCTGATGAGAAGACAAGACCTCATAGGCTGCGTGTTTTATGCCTATTGACAAGACAAGACCTCATAAGCTGCATGATTTATGCCTGATGACAAGACAAGACCTGGATAGACGTGGCCTGGGGCCTGAATGTCGTGCAAAAATGACCTTAACTTTAATATATGTTCGTTCATATTTGAAAAGTAGAAAGTAGTTTGGCCGCATAGGCTGCATGTTTCATGCCTGATGACAAGACTTCATATGCTGCATGTTTTATGCCTGATGACAGGACCTCATAGGCTGCATGTGCTCATAGGCTACATGATCTATGCCTGATGACATGACCTCATAGGTGACATGTTCTTTGCCTGATTACAAGGCCTCATAGATTTCAAGTTGGTGTGCCTGATTATAAGATCTCATAGGTTACATGTGTTATGCCTGATTATAATGAGTTGTTTATTGCAAGTTCTTGCCCGAGGGCTAATTGCAAACAGACATTGACAAATGTGGTGCTATAAAACTATATGCTTACATAAAGTTCTACTTGTACGATATACATATTAAACCTACTATCTCTACTTAAATCTAATAACTTTGGTACCCAGGATAAACAGTGGATAAGCAATACTAGTACATAAACAGGTAAGAGGAACAAGGTAAGTGCTATTCTAATCTATTCTATTCTATTAAACTATTCTTGCTATTAGGGGGGTTGGCTTCTTCTCAGGATGCAGTGGGAGATGAATTGTCCGACTCTTTGAAAAATAAATGGGTTGGGAGACTTTAGCAGTAATATAGTCTGTTGTTGTTTGCTGAGATATGAAAAATTTGGGGAAATGTTGGCGACTTCCTTGAATAACTTTTTCTTTCAAAATCGTAATGAGGACACTGACAGATAAAATGAATTTCATCTTCCACTGCTCCCTCTGTACAATACTTACAGAGCCTTTCGCTTACAGTTTCATTCATTCATTCATTCATTCATTCATTCATATCATATATACTTTTGATTTGTTAACTGTCACTTAATCATAGCTGATTTAGCTGTTCTTTTTTTACCGCTAAAATTTCAGTACCTTAATACATTGTATTTGAGCACTTTGATCATCTGCCTTGTCCACACCGCTAAAATTAAGTGCCGTGAGCTAGTCCATTTTCCTCCCACCGCTATAATTTCCAACCGCAATATTAAATGGAATTACAGTACACCTGTACATTGCCTTGGTGGTGGGACGTTCCATACAACTTGGAGGGGTGGTTGGAATTGGACAATTTTGGTACAGACTATATACGTAAAGCATGCTACACTTTGTCTGCATATCGTATTTTCCACAGTGCTACGTTTTGAATGCTTGAGCAATTGTGCATCTCATTTATTCGTTAGATCTGGTCTTTCTGGAGCACGCTCACATATACCCCCCCCCCTCAGCTGAATGGAAGATCCTAACCTTTTTGACGTCAGTTCCGCTTGTGCAACTTTGTTTTTGAGAGAGAAGGTAAAGCAAGACCAGTCCTAAGGCAAGGAGTGCCACTGACTTTGGCGTTTGGTTGTGCCCCTCAAGCTAGCAGCAGATATCAGCACAGGTATATTTTATTACTAGTATACTGTGTTAAGATTCGTGTGTTTGACAAAGAACTGCTGTATTTCTTTGCTCGTAAACATTTAGACATTCAACTTCCTCGTAGCTTTTTCAACTTCCTCATCTGATGACATAACATTGCTGGGTGGTCAACACAAATGGTAGATAGATAATGAGATTGAGAATCTATAATGAAAATGATGTATAATTTACAGTAAATTTAGGAGAGATTGAGCGAATTTCAATGCGTCGGTTTGTTTAAAGCAGGAGTATGAACTTGTACGATTATTTTTTCTACGTCTTTAAGTTTCAGTTTGATACCACGGCATATGTCTACTCTTAGGCGCAGAAACGACGTACATTATACAAATAATAAAGACGTACGCGTACAACAAAAACATAGACATGCGTCTATTTGTGGATCACATATGTTAATGGAAGTTACCATGTATATTAATGGTTGGCGCCACTGATTTCTGACAAGTAGCACTGGACTAAAATGTTCCATATGACTCAATGCTACATATATTCTATAAGTCTACAGTCTATAGTTTATAATGTATGGCCATAATGTATGGCATAATGTATGGCCATAATACATGTGATTTATTCGTTGCTAGCGTGTTAAGACGTTGGTGTGAGTCACTCCCTCATGTAATCATTAACGACAGCGGTGTAGTGCAAACACACGGTCAGGCTGGATGCCAACAGATCTGTGGACATGTGACCTGCACCGGAACTATTTGTCTGGGTTTACTAAGGGTTTGTGTGTAGTGTATGTAACGTCACTTTTCAAGCAACTCATGACATCTAAAACCACAGCAAGTGAACGTCATGTAATAGGGCAGAAATTATAGCCTATCTAGATCTGTAGTTCCTGATCGGCCTTTTATATTTACCTTCGCAGACGTTTTTGTACTGTTTCTTCTTCCTCTTCTTCTCGAAACAAATAAAGCCAGTGACCTGCACCAGACGTCTGTCACCATGGTGACTGGTGCTGTAGCAGACACCCTGTGATGTTGGGTTACATTTGTTTTGTATCAGAAGAGACTGCTCACCGTGTATTATATATGAACATGTTTGAGTAACAATAAACAGAGCAATAGTTTGTTGGGCTAGACCATGTGAAGGTAAACATATGCATTTGCTTTGTTAGATTTCTAGTTTTGTCTCCTTTTAACAGAATTTCAAGATGCCGCACGGTCACCACGGCGGAGGACACCATCATGGCGGAGGACACCATCATGGTGGAGGACACCATCATGGCGGACACCATCATGGCGGACACCATCATGGCGGCCATCATCATGGCGGACACCACCACGGCACGTTTGGACCACCTCATCACTTCGAACCTCACCACCCTCCTCACCACCCTCCTCACCACTTCGGACCTCACCACCCTCCTCACCACGCCGGTCCTCACACTCCACTGTTCCCTCATCACGATCCTCACCATCATCATCATCATCCTCACCGTCGCGATGACAACGAGTGCTGCGTCATCCTGTGAGGGATCCGCTCAAAATCTAAAAATGAGGGGAATCAATTTTAATGAAGGGACGATAGAAAACCTTTCCAACAGAACGTTGTAAAATGTTCCTGAACTTTTATAAAAAAAAAAGCGTCTATGTGTTGTAAGGTCGTAAAGCCAGCTATAGGATCATGTACATATACTAAGAAATGCACACACATCTAGTCAAGAAAAGACTATTTACTATGTTCACTATGTAATACTTCGATTTTGGTCATCGTACAGCCTTATGATCAATCGGCAATATATACTTTATAGAATCTTTATTTGCAAAATCATGCCCGAAGGCTAATTGCTTTCACAGTCAAGGACACTATTAGGTACAATACAATAATAGGAGACAGACAACTACTTGTCTGGAAAACATTACATGTATACTTTACTACTATGCTAGCTATTATGAGGCTTGAGTTCTTCTTTGAAGGCAATGGATAATAAATAGTCCCACATTCTGCATAATGAGTGCGTTTCGTGATCTTAGTAGAAACGTAGTCTTTCCGTGTAGTAGACTAGTATTTCCATGACCGTCTCACAGCGACCTCTAGCATGTTTGAACAAAACTGCAGTAGTACTTAGCAGGCCTCGGGCTAGCTCATTTTTCTTCGCTCGTTCTTGTCGTCTTTAGGGGCTAATGCCAGGCATTATGGCTTAGATTCGGAGAAAAAAGGACTTCAGTACAAATTGGGACTAAAGTACATTCATCCACGGGCCCCATGAGGCTTCAAACACAGATTTACATTTAATCTGTATGCATATATGTTTACTGATGATAATCTTATCACGTATTCATGTGTGGTCTTTTGTTTATTCTTCTCCTGGTCTGTCAGTTCGAGATTTGTACGTCGTCATTTTTGTGGTAACGTGCATTTTTTTGACATAACGAAGGAAAATTCATTAAAAAAACGTACAAACCAGGCAGATTAAATGAGGAAAGAAAGAGAGGAAAGGGAAAGAAAGAAACGTAATTAAATAGACACGACGATAAAAACTACGCTATAATTTTCGTCTAAATAATTGACGGTATAAACTTTTCAAGAAAGAAGTAGAAAGAAAGAGGGAATTCGAAGGAGAGAAAGCAAAATGAAGGAAGAAAACATCTTTGTGGGTACAAGGTGTAACTCCACTAGCGGACCAACACTCATGGCATTTTATCTGTAGTTTCGCTAGGAAACCAAGAGACAAACTTAACTACAAACGAAGAACCAAGGAAACCAAGAAACAAACAAACGCAGCAGAAAGAAAGAGAGAAAAGATTTGGAAAGGTGATCCCTCTTACTCAGCCTTGACTCATGCTACGTGACGTAGGTGATGACGTAATAGGCTGATGACTTCATCCCAGTAGGAAGCAAGATGGCGGCGGTTGGAGAACACAGGGCCATGCCGGCCTACCTGGACATGGCTAGCTCCGTGTACACGGCCATCACGGGGTATCTAAGAGACTACGAAGGCGCAGCCACGCTACAGGACTCCATCAAGGATGTCTTCGAGTACGGGTTCGTCACCAAGGCGGATCTGACGCTGCTTGTACTATTCGCGGCGGCGTGGACTGTGGTTCGGTACGTCGCAACAAACTACGGGTTCAAGGTACGTACAACCATGTTTAACACTGCTGTAAGGTACAAAATACTCCTACACGTTCTCCCTACTTCCAGCACGACGTAAGACGTGGTTCTTTGCGTACAAGGGTGTTGGAGACTCGCCCATGTTCGTCTCTAGCCGACATCCTGTTTTTTTCCGGCAGAGCGGAACATCCCTTGGGTATAGGCGGACAAGTTACATTTTTACATGCACGCCTGAGCTTCTGAGACCATCCCTACATGTTGTCTTCTGTTTTTCGCTGGAAAAAATGTCTGAGTTCTTGTTTACGTTGCACCTGTTCGTAGCGTTGTCAACAGGGGTTTGAAGAGCCATGTAAATAAAGTCTGGTGTTTTTTCTAGCACGGGATTTCCTTGATCAGGTGTACCCGGTGAAAGTGCCTTTTGTTCAGCGTGAAAATAACCGTGAAAAAACACACGCGTGAAAAAACGTAATCCACACATCCCCAGGGATTATTTTACATAAATACCCGGTGGATATGTGTGCATAATAACCACTATCACTGGGTTCAATCAAACAAAGACAACTCCTATTCCTACATGTAAAATTTCATCAACGCCACATATAAAAGCTAGCACTAGAAAATAACATTTTTAGTCATTCAGTTTTCATATTATAACCTCAGTCACTCTACAACTGATATAACGTTTCTAAATATAACCGTCAATTATTAACTAGTCTTGGCAAAATACTCGCTATGTAGCATATATTTTCTAATACCAGATAATATTTAAATCAATTTTTATCAAGCTAGGATTTTCTCGTCTAATAGAACGTTACGACGCAACGCATGTTCTGTTGACGTCTATCGTGATGCGTATTGATTAAATCTTGTGATCACGCGGCCCGCTAAATGCCAAAGTCCGCCATTTCTCAATAACGTGACTATTGGCTCGTACTTTGATCGGGACGCAAACAACATTCTTGATCTTTGACCTTTGTTGTCATTTCAAAATGGCCAGTCAGTGATTTTGAGAAGAAGATTTTATTTTCAGTATCTTAACATTTTTTTGAGTAGAAGATTTTATTTTCAGTATCTTAACATTTTTTTTGAGTAACAGATTTTATTTTCAGTATCTAAACATTTTTTGAGTAGAAGATTTTATTTTCAGTATCTAAACATTTTTTTGAGTAACAGATTTTATGTTCAGTATCTAAACATTTTTTTGAGTAGAAGATTTTATTTTCAGTATCTAAACATTTTTTAGTAGAAGATTTTATTTTCATTATCTAAACATTTTTTCGAGTAGAAGATTTTTTTTCAGTACCTAAACATTTTTATTAGTAGAAAATTGTATTTTCAGTACCTAAACATTTTTTTAGTAGATTTTATTTTCAGTATCTAAACATTTTTCATTGAATCCTATCCCTATTCAATGAAAATATATTGTTTAGTACAAAAGCATGGCATTACCAAATTCAATTCGCCATTTAGCACCAATACTCCAACTATATAATCAAGGAGGTTATAGATGTAACGTCCTTACGTTAAAAATGTATCAGACACACTGCATAATTAGAATTGATAATTTGGTGAATCATGAATGCATAATTTGGTAATGCTACATTACTCAAAGAGAGCACCCATTTTCATGTATGTATAATAATGTTTATTTTCATTGTCTGACACCTCAACTTGAATGAAATAACATCATGCGCACATGTATAAAATTCATACACACATGTATAAAAGCTTAAAAATTCAGAAGGCCGTTTGAAAATCATAGACGTATATGTTACAAAGGTATCCTATCGTTTCATTGTTCGTAAACGGTTGAAATGATTTTGGATTGAAAGACGTTAAAAATCTGCCTTTGTCCCATGGGCAGATCCCTACTAAATAATTTATATACTGTGCACCTAGCTGGAATTCTAAGGCTGGACCTGAAAAAAACCATGATAAGAATGGGTCAGTGTTTTCCACATCATACATACAGATTTTTAAAACAGTACATACGTAAAATATGAGTTTTCAAATCATATGTCATAGGAAGCATGTTTAGAGTTGCATATCTAATTTCAAATATGGCCATTTCCAGGGTGATGAAATTACAATATATGTGGGACACAGATGGTAGTGATTATGTTTTATCTGATGTCAGTGATGATGATAACAGAGTGAACAGAATACAGACACCAGAAATTTACTCTGATTTGTTTTGAAAAAGAACTGAGTTGAATTCCATGTGTTGAAGAGAAAATGGGGAGGGGGAAACAGAACGATTGAGTGTAACAAGTCATTTAGTGTGATATAGCTTGATGCCGCCGCGCCGCGTGTCTGCGAAGCTGGTGTGTTATGCGGAAGGTCAGTTATACCGGCTATACTAATACAGATACAGAACGATACACACAGCAAAGACACCAGAATTGCATAAAAATTAACTAAAAAACACCACTGAAACAAAACACCTTATGCCATACTTTTTGTACCATGCCCCCCTCCCCCTCAAAATAATCCTAGGATTCAGTAGGAATTATATATTGTAGGAAAAGCCAGGAAAATCACACTGTTGGGAAAAAAAAAAATCCTTTGGAACACCACTGAAACAAAATTCCTCCTCATGCCATACTTTTGGTACCACGCCCCCCCTCCCCCTCAAAAAAATCCTCGGAATGATACATTTGTAGGAAAACCCTTGAAAATCACACTGTTGGGAAAAGAAATACAGCTTCTGATGTACGTCAATAGAAAAAAGGAAGGTCTAAGCCTGTAAGGTAAATTGTAACAGAAAACGGGAACATTGAAAACTGCCACGAAGCTTGAGAAAGCGATTGTTTGTTTGGGTACAGGTATGGTTGAACCCCTGCCTTGTTCTGGGTATATGTTGCATGCAAAGGTGCGGCTCCTCTCAGTTCTTTTCTCACGTTATGGCATAGCAATTCTTATCATTGGTTCACTGGCATCAAAGAAAAAAATCAAGGAGCTACAGGGCTGGAAATACTGGGTGCATGTGCACCTTTTTTAAGTTAGTGCAACCAAATTTGGAGCTGTGTGCCAATTTTTTTCTGTGGGTGCACCAGTGCACACAAATATTTTTGTAGGTTTACGTATGTAAAGATGTGAAATGTATAGTCGTATACAGCGTATTCTTAAGTGTCAGAAAAATTATAAAATCATTGTTATTAGTACTTTTCTCTAGAAATGAAACATAATTAGTTTTTGCTTACATTCTACTTATTTTATCTTATATGGTGCACCCAAAAACGTTTTTGTGCACCCAATTTTTTAGGTTGGGTGCATCAGTCCACCTTTTCCCAAAAATGAATTTCGAGCCATGGCATGGGTTAAAAACAAAAACATACTAGACTTTTTTTTTCATGTAAAAAACTTTCCCCTTATTTAGACTCTTTCATGTTGATTTTGAAGACCAGCATTTTTTTTCAAATCAAAATACAATGTATATCAAATACGGGAACAACCAAATGAAAATGATTTGGCCTAAAGCCATATTTCTCGCTTGTTGTGTGAGATTATACTGCTTGACCTGATTCAGGACACTACTCTGGCTATTGATATGTCCCTGTCACTATTTTGGGGAACTCAGCAATGCCGTAAACACATACAGTTATATCATACCAGTTCAAGAGGGCCACTTAGGGGACCAATAAAATCTGGTCAGTCAAAATACAGGTGGTCAGAAGGGGAAATACCTAAGGGACCGCCAAACAGTGGTCACTTTGGCCATGTGGTCCTCATGTATAGATGGACACTTGTAGTAGTTATACAGGTCAAATTTGACTCAGACAAATTACTTATGTTGCATGACCTACGTATACAATCATAGCACATATATAGAAGACCTTGTTCCTGTATTACTTACAGAATGTATACTAACTAAGTTGCAGTCCTGCTCCTAAAAATTGTGTTTACCCCAGTCATAAATTACTTTTCGTCATAAAATAAATTACTTTTCGTCATTTTTTATAATGTAGTGAAAGAATGAGACCAGATATGCTGTGAAAAATTTCGCAACCAGAAACAGATATGTTAAGTTCTTCCTCTTGACCTCTAGCCTGGGTGCCAGACCCATAGCACACTGGACACAAAGTATCTCAGTGAGCTTTGTGTTCAGTGTGCTATGGGTCTGGCACCCAGGCTACTTGACCTCACACTGTCACAGTGTAACATCCCAAAAATTCCCCTCAGGATATCTAGGTCAAACAACTGGTCAGTCTACTGCCCAGCCCTGGCCAGTGCCTGTCTTTGTCATTTGCCCAATCTGTCATCTTTGACAGACAAAAATTTGTGTGTAAAGATGTGCAAAGTCACCAGTAGACCAGCAAAATATGCCCCTCAAAATACAGTTCAATATAGCATTTTCAGGGGGTTGAGATTTCAAAATTTTCCTGGGGGTAGCCCCGTAGCAAATTTTTGGTCACTCAACATTCAAGCAAAAAAAGCCACTAGTGGAAAGAAATCCATATTACATCGGCCTAAGTCTACACATTCAAGTGATTGCCATATCGTCACATACAGCTAGCGAATGGAAGGCAAAAAGCAAGTGACTGTTGTTTTTTTTACCATCAATCATCTCCATATGCCTCCCGACAGTTTGTATATGTGTAGACTAATAATTGACGTAAACAAAAACAGCGACCGCTGGCTTACACTGTTACAGGAATGGAAATGGAAAATGTGTGATTCCAGAGTTACACAATTTTTCACAGCTCCGTACATTTACATATACATGTACCTGTACATCTGTTTTTTACCTCCAGGTACAAAAATTCCGGTTAAACAGGTTAACCTCTGTACGTACAAATGATGTATCTTTGCATACACAAGTTAGTTTCCATCTCTCTCATTTCGCAACAATATTCTTCCAGATTTTCGTTACTATTGAGAAGTGAGATAGGAAACCTAGTTATATCATCCATGGTTATATTTCATGTTCTTTGAAAGATACACTCCTGACAAATTGTCAACACTTTATTCATGTTTCTGTCATTATTGAAGAATTTCAGTAGAACATGTGACGCGCATGAA